CCTAAGGGGGTGAAATGAGGGGTTTGCATAGAGGTTTCTTAACTTAAAAATATAATAAAATTTGGAGAAAGATTTTTTTAATGATTTACTTAGAGTACATACAAAATATTTTGAATTTGAATTGCTGTTTTGTGAGGACAAATACTTCCAAAAAAACAAATTTCGGCTATTTTAAAAATGTTTTTTAATTCCATTATAATATATTTTAGACAAGAAAAAATCAGATAAAAGTTGTCGATAATCACATTTTTAACGAGACGGTGTTCTCTGTTTCTTTCTTAAGCCTGTCATTTTTGACATATGACACAAACATGTGTTTTTAAGGGAAACCACAATTGGCCATAACTTCACGAAAAACGCAATTTTTTTAGTTTTTTAGCGATATAAGCTATGATGGTTTTTTCGAAAAATTACTTAGTTATAGCCAATAATAAAAACATGTTTACCTATTAGTTTGTTTAAAATAACAACTTTAAAGATAAATATATCTCTGTTTTAAATTTTAACTGTTTTAGTTTAATTATACGTGCACGAAGTGAAATGTAGGTACTAGGGCAACGCTATGTCGGTGCACGCATTTTTCTTACGTCATAACTTTGATGACTTTTTGTCGTGTACCTAAAAATTTTAATGGGCTACACGTTAACGTGCACCTAGACACAGCGGCTGAATAAAATTAGAGCCACTGAGTCCCGAAAATTCAAAAAAGTGAGCTATATTGAAGCTGCATAGCGGTCGAGATCCATTCTTTGGGCATATTACAGAAATTATCATTGATTGTCGTTTCAAAGGTCATTATGACACTGTTTTTTTTTCGGTCGTTATATACTAATCATATTAGCTATTACAGTTGTCACAGTTATGTGCAGACTTTAAATTTATTTGTATTTGAATCCGTTTGCTTAATCCGCAAGCACTTATCTGCTATTCCCGAAAGGCCATCTCATAACTATCCACGCACGATCTTTATCTGCCAACCCCGAGCTCAGAACTAGTTAAAAGTTCAATACCGTACAATGCCAAAAAAATGTACAATCATCTACCTTTGAATATCAAGTCGCTTTTATTCTTTCCCGCATTTTGCAAAGTTCTGAAATCATACCTACTGGAGAGAGCCCTATATGCGGTGAACGACTTTTTTCTTGATGTTTAGTCAATGAACAATTTTGAATTTTAGAATTTTGATCATCTCACACTCTGGTCAAAGATCAAGTATTTAATATTTTATAACTCTTAAGATTGTATCTATTTAAAATCTTCCTATTGTAAAATTTTATTGATACGCCTTTAAATAATTGTCCATGTATTTTTGATGACTTATTTTTTTTTAATTGTATGATTTGTATTGTGTATTTTTTATTATTTGTATGTTTTTTGTGCTTTTGTTTGATGTGTAAATGCTTTGTCGATGAAGCTACTTTGGCTTTTTGCACAATAAAGCCTTTTTTATTTATTTATTTATATAAAAATAATAGATAGAGATATGCAAAAGAAACTCTTATATTTCATACAGTTGCACTGTATACCCTGTGCCAATTTCATAAAAACAGGAAAATTATTTTCTAGAAATAAATCACCCTGTATTTTTCGCACAGATGAGTTATTACCCTTTGAAACTTAAGAATTGCAGGGTTGATCGTCTCCACTACGAAGGTCAGCTACAGTTATAGTTACTACCATTGCCACATAGTAGCTCACCTATCGCGTTGTTTTATAAACACATTTCAAAAACTCAAACAAATTTGTTATTAGGAAAGCGATTGTTCAATTAAAAACAAAATTAATCCGAATTTAAATTTCTTTGAATCGGTTATGTAGTGTTAATCTTTAAATTGTTTAAGAAACATGTGCCAAAAGTTTGTTACAACTTCAGATTCTGTAGACTTGGACAGAGCTATTGAACTCACAGGTAACTATATTTTGTTACTTACTTAGGATAATGAGGTAAAACCAAAAAGTCTCAAACCTTCTGTATAAATGTGATTATTTTTATTTTGTTTTTAATTTTTACTTATTAGTGGAGTATTCAGAGACTTTTACCTCAGAATTCAATTACTGTGAATGTATTACCCATTTTTTTTCGTTGCTTTTGATTTTTTAGTTTAGTAATTTTAGAAAATTCTTAGTTATTTCCTTCTTAATTTTTTGATTTTTTTAATTTTCTTTTCTAAGTAAATTTATTGAAATAAATGAATCTAATGCATAAGCTATACCTATTCTGCTTATATTCTAATCATTGAAATTTTGATTGAAATTGAATTATACAGGGTGGCGCGTCATTTTGTAAGAAGCGTTTTTGTAAGAAGAACAAAAGTTTGTATTGAAGTGAAATTTTGTGGGCTTATGTAAGTCAATTTAAAGCATTTTCTAAAATTATATAGAGTTCTACAGGGCGTCCCCAAAGAAAGTTACACATCAAAGTTGTGTTTTTTGTAATGGAAATTTTATCATCTAGATATATCCCTTCTCGACAGTTTGTTTTTGGTTCATCTCATTAGCTTTATTTTTATTGGAGATATTTGTTTTTAAAGAAGATACTAAAATTTTTTCGTAATGTTTACATTAAGACCATGCCTTTGCTTTTGGTCCAAGTCAACAAATCTAGTAAGTTCTGGTACCGAAGCAGGCTTTCTTAACATAAGATTTGCTTCGTTTAGTCTTCTTCTTATAGTCTTTAATATGTACGTTTCTTAAGTGCAATTCATTATAAATTTGAAAAGCTGGAAAACGGCGGTTTCTTAGCGATAAACTTACAATAAGTCGATCGTCCCGATTAGAAGTCCTCTTACGAAGGTTCCTGGACGTCTAGATTGACGTCCTTATGGACGTGGTCATAATTCAAAAATCACTCAGTATACTCTGTGGTATTAAGGTATTTTTGGAACTGGAATTTTATAGCAAATTCACTAAACTAAACAAATATAAAACATTTCATTTGAAAAACTAAAAGTGAAGTGTAAAAGTATATTTAACTCACCCTGTATATCTATAAAAAGATTTTTGAAATGTGAGCTACCATTAAACACATATTTTGTTTTGGCTTTGACATATTTTCGTTAAACACATATTTTTGGTTTCGCTGGAAAATCTCAAATAGGAATCCTGATACAGAGCTTTTTTGGAACACGGAGCTATCTTGTATGTATGCATTTGCATATATGTGTTTATTTAATACTAAATTGAAAACAATGAATTTAAATGGGTAAACTTTGTAATTTATACTATTAACAATATAATGCAAAAAGTTTTATAAAAAAATCGTTCACAGTAAATGAATTCCGAGGTTTGTATCCTTTAAGGGCTTAAAGCACTCCACTATACAGGGTGTTTCAAAACAAATGCGAAAAACTTCAGGGGGTGATTCCTTGTTCAAAATAAAGGGTAGTTTGCTTCATAAACGTTGGGTCAAAAGTCAACCATTAGGGAGATATTGCCGTACAAAGATGGCGGAAAAATAATGTTTTCATTTTTTATCTTGAAAACGAAAAGAGATAGACTAATAAAACTTTATGGAAGCATTGTTGTTATGAAAACACACTTTCTGGTCATTTTTTCACTTTTTTAAAATAAGTGGAAGGGGTTGAAATAAACTACCCCTATCATTCTTGTTAACGAAATTTAAAGAAAAATATTATCAAACACATGCAAAAAAATTAATTTGGATAGTTAGTTTGTTTAGAAACTTTTTTATCTCTTGTATTTTTTTGATGAAACTCACCGATTTGAAATTAAAAAATAAAATGTAAAGCATTACATGTCAGGACAAAAAACATTTTCTGATAAAGAATCTAGTGGGCTGCTGTAATTTTTTTAGGAAAAAATCTAGTCGGCCGCTGTTACTTTTTAGGATAAATCTAGTCGGCCGCTGTTACTTTTAGAATGTTCCTAATATTATTTTATTTGACATTACTCTACTGCAATACGTTATTATCTAGATGATTATTATTATCGTTATTATCACTAGATTCTTAATCTAAAAATGTTTTTTGTCCTGACATGTAATGCTTTACATTTTATTTTTTAATTTCCAATCGGTGAGTTTTATCAAAAAAACACAAGAGGTAAAAAAGGTTCTAAACAAACTAAACTATCCAAATTAAAGCATTTGCATGTGTTTGATAAGATTTTTCTTTAAATTACGTTAACAAGAATGATAGGGGTAGTTTATTTCAACCCCTTCCACTCATTTTAAAAAAGTAAAAAAATTACCTGAAAGTGTGTTTTCATAACAGTAATGCTTCCATAAAATTGCATTAGTCTGTTGCATCTCTTTCCGTTTTCAAGATAAAAAATAAAAACATTATTTTTCCGCCATCTTTGTACCGCGATATCTCCCTAATGGTTGACTTTTGACCCAACATTTATAAAGCAAACTACCCTTTATTTTGAACAAGGAATCACTCCCTAAAGTTTTTCGCATTTGTTTTGAAACACCCTGTATATGTTATATTCTGTTTATTAAAAGCAAAGAATCGATAGCCATACATTACCAAATTCTACAGATCCCTGAGCAATACATTTATTTCTGTTTGATTGAATAAAAAAGATTCTTTTACTTTTCTTTTAGAGGCTTCTTTGGTTCTTTCATCTCAATTTCTTGGTTGGTAAAATCTACTCTATGCCCTGTGTCCCATGAATGCTTATCTTTGCAAAATCTTATATTTGCAAAAATCGCCCTTTTTTAAATAATCTTTATGTTCTATAATTCGAAAATTTATGGCAAGAAACATGAACAAAAGTTCCTAACAACTCGAGATTTTGCGGATTTTGACAGAACTGTTGAACTCACAGGGTACTTATATTTTGTTCTTATTATTCCAAGAATTAAACAAAGACAATAGACGATTAAAATAGATTTTTCAACAGCTGGGATTTATCTCTAAGGAAGATTAAAGTAATAATTTGTATTGACAAGATTTTACTTCGTTATTGTTTGTTGTATATAAATAATAATATTTTGCGATAACCCATGGAGTGACCCAAGTATTATTCCTAACGCTATTTGCATCATATGCGGCCCAGAAAGATTTGTGATGTATGTGAATAATTGTGAATAAGAGCTTTAATAAAATAATTTTCTTTGTCTAATAAGACTGACGTTTTGTTCAAAAAACAGCATCGGTTCTTGTAAGAGCATATTGTTGTGTTATTTTAAGACAGATGATGGTATAGGTTTAAGTTTCTTAAAAAATGTAAGCAAAAGTTTTAATTTTAAAGAAAGTTAGTCAAGATGATTGATTTGGAAGACTTGGATACGGCCCTGGAGAAAACTGGTAAGATAATATATTGGTTATCTGCAAAGTGTAACCGATTTTTAATTACCTATATTTATTGAAATTGTATTATATCTTTAGTTGATTATTAGAGTTTACAGTATTACCTAAAATGGTTAATTCCGTTTATTCTTTTCCAAATTTTTTACCGTTTTAGAGAAAATTAAAGAAAAGATGAAAATATAGTTGAATTCTTTTCTAAAAAGTCCTAAAAATCAAAACGCGTTTCTTTGGTAATATAATTTCATTTTCATTCTTTGATAGATTATTATTTGAGAAAATTTTGATATTGAGAGAATTTTAGTTAGCGTCATATTTTTTGCTCTTTTAAATGCTACGGAGAGGGCAATAATACACATACCGGAAAAGTCTAGGGATATTACAATTTTATCCAGCCATCGTCAGTAATTTTATTATTTGCATTTTTGATATAATAAAATTAAAATAAACAAATAGTTTACAGGACGTATTGGAAATACAAATGCGAAATTTACCGAATTTTTCAAATTTACCTTGATTTTTATTGAACTCAAAAAAATACACACATTTTTTTTTATTCTAAACTGTGAATTAAAAAAAAAGATAAAACCATTTTTACTTAATAAAGGGTATGGCCTCCTCTACTGTTCATTACAGCCCTACATTGTCTCTCCATGCTCCTGATCAGGTTGTCGATCTCTTCTTGAGGTACAGCCTGCCACGCTGCATTCACGGCCCGAACCAGATCCCTACGAGTTTCACGAAGCATACCCATTCTCAAAATTTTTCTTTGGACCGCGTCCCATACGTGCTCGATGGGGTTGAGGTCAGGAGATTGTGCCGGCCAGGGTAAGATGTTTAATTGATGAGCATTGATAAACTCACTTACCACTCTGGCTGTATGAGGCCGTGCATTGTCATACATGAGAATGAAGTTTCTCCCAAAATCATTGGCATATGGTAACAGGACAGACTCAAGAATTAAATCACGATATGTGATTCCTGTTATAAACCTTTCAAGAAAAACGAGATCGGTTTTTCGGCTTAACTGGACTCCTCCCCAGACCATAACTGTTCCACCTTGATAAGGGTGCACTTCCTGAACATGATCCAACCGAATAAGATTTTCCGGTTCTCTCCATACCCTAAGCCTTCTCGAATCTGGATGAATTCCAAAGCGTGACTCATCCGCGAAGAGAACATTGGCCCATTGCTCATTCGACCACTGAACATGATCTTGAGCCCACAAATATCGTACCTCTCGATTTCCTCTCGTTAAGGGTTGAGCTCTCCAGGGGCGTCTGCTTCTTAAGTTAATTTCTCTTAATCTATTGCGAACAGTGTCAAGACTAACGGTTACATTATGTGTTTCCTGGAGAATTAAACTAAGCTCTGGTGCTGTAAGAGTCGGTCGGCGTCGAGCATTTAATTGTAAAAATTGATCTTGCTGAGGGGTAGTAATGCGCTGTCGCCCTGTGTGTCTTTCAGCAACATCACCACTTTCACGGTAGCGTGCACTTAATCGCGATATTACACTTTGCGTTTTATTTAATGCTCTAGCTACGTCGATTTGGCGCATTCCAGTTTCGAGCATACCCATGGCCCTTAGCATTTCGTCTCTGTTAAGATGTCTACGCTCCGTAATATCGTTTAATACTAAACAGACTTATTTGAATGAATTCTGGCCAGTTATCATAAAAACATAGCCAGTACAGGTAAAATTCGAACAATTGAGGCTAGGTGCTTTTTATACATTTGACAAAAAATGCACAAACACTTCTGCAAATATCCCAGATTTAGAAATAACTAGTGGGACTACTTCGTTTCAATCGAAGTAGAAAGAATCGGCCTACAAATATGTGGTTGTTTATTCAAAACATTTATTTTTAACTTTAATAAAATGATATCCCTAGATTTTCCGGTGTGTGTAGTTATCCGAAAATGTGTTACTTAACAAAATCCAAAAATATGACGTTAATCAAAATTATTTATAACCATCTATCAAAGAATGAAATCGAAAATATATTACTATAAAAACGCCTTTTAATTTTTTAAGACTTTAGGAAAAAATTCAACTATATTTTAATGTTTTTTTTTATTCCCTCTAAAACGGTATGGAAATTTCAAAAATTATAAAGGGGATTTAATCATTTTAGAACAAGCAACATTTTTTATGAAGAATGCATTTTTCCTCTTGTAAAGACAATCCGGGAACATCCTGTATAGTTCTGCACTTTCATTACACTTAAATACTTCGTACAGAATATTATGCATTAGTGTACACTTTCTTATTGCATCAAAAACGTTTTTTATGTTGACAATTAGTTCTGTATTCCTATTTTTGATGCCCAGTTATTATACAAATTTAAGTTACCTTAAATTGCATTAAAAACACATATTTTTTATATAAATCGTAAATAACGACAAAAAAATTAGAAGATGATTCATTTTTAATAGAAAAAATACTAAAATCACATTTTTTAAAATGGTTTATACGGTTACTATATATATAGTGTGTTTCAAAAAACTTGCTGGAATTTGAAAACCAATAAAAGATACAATAAAAGTTAATTTCATTCGTCAAAACTAAAAAGCATCTTTGCAAGTGTTTCTAAACATATGAGTATATTACATCACGTTCAGTATGTTGTAACAAATGCATGGACCTCGATATCTTATTGCCTACACGAATTTCAAAAGACCTCGTATATCTCAGTGAAAATAATTATTGTAATCATTTATTTTGGACGTTGAACTTATCAAACGATATATTTAGAACCTAAACCAAAATAAAAGTTATTCAATGCTGTTATTTTCAAAATATACGCTAAAAATATTCACCTTAAGTACATTATGATATTTCTTTTGGATATGTTTATAATATAATAATAATAATAATAGCTCCCGTATATAGCGTTTAATTTTTAAAATAGCCGAAATTTGTTTTTTTCGAAATATCTAGTAAGCCATGAACTTTTTCAAAAATCTGAAAGGCGCATATTTGTGACCCCACAAAACTGCAATTCTTTCCCCATTTAATGCATTTAACCGACTCTCTAACTCCAGTAGTTTCCGAGATACCCATAGAGAACATCGTAGGAAACTCACCCTGTATAAAGAGTTTCCTGGCATTTCTGGACTAGCCGTAAAAGTGGTGACCAATTTGCTTATTTTAAATAGAACAGGCTATACAGGGTGGTCCGAACTGATTCCGGAAACTTCGGCAGCATATTCTACAGATAAAAATAATTAAGAAAGTTGGTATAAAAATGTATGTTCCAAAATGTTTAGTTTCGGAGATACAGGGTGTAGAAGTTTCATTTTTATTTCGATTTTTTCCAAATAATTTCTGGAGTACCGTCAATTTTTGGATGGAAATTAATGTTTCGGAGTTTTTTGGCATGATAAATTTGATTTTGATGTCAATATGTATTGAAGAGTAATAACTTTTCGTCCGTACCTGTATAAAATTACTGAGTGAAAAAATATACATTTCCGTGACTTTTTACGTAAAAAATGTCAGTTGGTAAAAATCGCTACGAGCAACCGTTCTCAAGATATTTAGAATAGAAATAATTATTGTATTAGAAGTAATTGAATTTCTTGTAAAAAATTACATTTGTAGCGCATTTCTAAATATTTGCATGTTAATTTTAAGGATATGGACGCTTCCACTACGAAATCCTCGCTGTCAGCGCCTTATCCATCGTTTCCATGGGTTTCCAGAATGGACTCTCTTCATACGTCTTTCCAGCCGCCCAATGTGACCTGAACCTAACTTCTTATGAGCTGGGAATACTCAATATGGCCTTCATGATTGGAGGCATCGCCAGTTGTTTTTTATGGGGCGCCTTAGCCGATAACTTCGGCAGGAAGAACATCTTGATATTGGCACATTTTATAGATGCCACAGTTACCCTGGTGTGCTCTGTGCTGCCTGGATCGTTCGTGTTATTGGTGTGTAGGTTTTTGAATGGATTTATAGTAGGTAAGTTCAATTTTTTTGTCTATCTGTAAACAACTTATAACGTAAATTTCTATTATATTGTCATTTTTACAGGTGCACCTGGTAGTATTATCTTTACTTACGTAGCCGAATTTCAACCTCCCAAATACAAAACACCCATGGTCTGTTGCTGCGGTGTTTTCTTCACTCTCTCCTGGCTTCTCCTACCACTAATGGCATATTTTATCCTGCCAATCCAAGGAATAAACTTTAACATCGCCAACACATTCATCATGGTACCTTGGAGGTTCTTTTTGATCATCCTCACCTTGCCAGAGTTCCTAGTAACGATATGGTTACTAAAAACTCCCGAAACACCAAAGTTTCATTTCGCTAAAGGAAATCATCGAGAGTGTTTGGAAGTGTTGAAGACGATGTATTCAAGAAACACTGGAAATCATCCTGAAAACTACCCAGTCAGAAAGCTGGCAACTGACATGAAAATGGAGATTCAAAATGATGTAGTGTGTGAGGGGAAATCTCAGAGGATTTTAAGGAATATGGTGAAGCAGATCAAGAGCTTGTTTGTTAGTCCACTTTTGAAAGTCACTTTCCTGACGTGCTTTATTATGTTTGGAAATATGTTTGGGTGAGTTTATACAGGGTGTTTCAAAAAACATGTCATCTCTCGTGGGGAGATTCCTCACGTAAAAATAAGATTTTTTATATCAAAATAAGTCCAATTCTTCTTTTTTTTACCTACACGGGGTTAAAGTCCCAAGCAGCATTTGGACGTCGGGACAACGTTGTGTCACGCGACAAACGTCGGGGCGCAACGTCGGCACAACCTCGTGCCAACCCTAGTCTGCACTAGTTTGGAGAATAATTTTTGGGTCGAAACGACGTTGGATACCGACGTTGGCTAGAAGCCTAATTTAGTACAAACTGCAACGTTGTTTAAAATCCTAATTCACAGAAATACAAAACTAATATGGCGTCTAAGTCGCGTTTTATCCTAAATTGGGATAATTATAGTAAAAATATTATTTTTATGATTTAGTTAGAGACATATGTCAGATGGCAGTGAAGGAAAACAAAACAAAAGTATTTAAGTGTGGAGGATGTTTGAAGATCATAATTATTGAAACACTTTAACCGACTCTGTAACTCGTTACCCAAGGCAAAAAAGTTAAACGCAAACAACTTTATTGATAAATGTATTGTTTCTACTTTGAAAAATACTAATGGGCCTTAAAATTAAAGAAATTTTAAAAATTTTCTTGAATTTTTTTTTTAGTAAAATGAGAATAATTTATTCGCAGTCGAAAAAATTGTTTCCGCGTGTTTTTTAGGGTCAAATATTTCAAGTTAATGTATTCAAAAAGCAGGAATTGTTATTTTAGGAACGAAACATTTCCTTATTTAACAACATGGCGGCTTTCCCTTTGTTGTTTTGGAGATTAAGATGGAGTAGTTCGAGTAGTCGCTTACTGGACTAACAAAGTCGCAGTTCGGCGTTAACAGGTAGTATACTAGTCGCAAGATTGCCTAATTTAGTCATCCTAGAGTCTAGCTTGTGCCGCCCTCTATAATCTAAATAAACGAGGGAGTAGATAAACATCGGTAATATATGTCGATGTATATTTAAATTTAGTTTTATATGTACCTTTCTTATGTCCCATTTTAATTTAGTTTTTTTTTATAAAAACAAAAACAGCACTGAACTGTCTGACTGAACAGAACAATGAAGTGAAAATTTAAGATTTAAGGTTATGGTTCAATACAGTTGCAAAAAGGTAGTGACTCGACGTCCTACCAACGTAAGAATAAGGAAATCTAAACAACGTTGGAATTAGTAAAACAGACGACGTTTGCATAACGTTGGAAAGGTCCTGAAACTGACGTCGGAAAACTCATATTGTTCAACGTTGTAACTACGTTGTCCGAATCACCTAAAGATCATTTAAGTAAAAAAGGTTACAAGACAACGTTTATTCGACGTCGCAGAAGCTTCTATTTTGCTGTAGTACTAGTCCAAGGTCGGCACAACGTTATAAAAACGTTTAAATTTATTTTAATACCCAAGGTAGGGAGCTAACTATTTTTTGTAACTAATCCAACGTTGTGTTTAGTAAACATGTGGTCGCAAGTCGTGAAAATGCTACTTGGGGTCTTTTATTACAATTATCTTTCAAGTGCTTTTACTGAAATATTGAGGGTTAAAATTACTATAAGTGACAAATTGACATAATATATTAGCTCTTTCAAACTATATTAGGGTTTCCTATACCTATCTGGCTGAGATTTTGAATAAAAAGCGATTTTTCAATAAAATTGTAATCAAGATGGCTAGTGTTCTAATGGCAAGTTTCTAGTGATAGTTAGTAGTTATTTTCAAAATCGAAATAAGTTTATGGACTTATTTAAATTTATACTAGTTTACTTTTATTTAATTTGCCTACAATAGTTTAATAAATAATATTTATTAAATATGTGTTTATTATTATATCAAGAAAAACGAAGAAGTAATATTTGAATTATCTTAAGATGACTTGTAGATACATGGATTTTCTATAAAAGAGCCAATTACGGCAAATTCATTTTCTTCACTTCCAACGACAGGTTTCTGCCTAATAGGTTTTTTATAAACCACACTACCAGCTCTGCGATATAGGATTTCAAAGAAACTCTTATCAGGAAGATTCCTATTTGGATATCTTTGAGCATATGCCCTAGCGGCCAAGAAGCAATTTTCCTCACAAAATAATATCACTAGTAACATATCTATTCGTTCCGCCAGCAGATACTGCTTTATTTTTCTTGATAAAATAATGAATACTTACTTAATAAACTATTGTAGGTAAATTTAAGTAAACTGTTATAAATTATAGTAATTATTATATAATATATAAACTGTCACTAGAAAATTGCCATGGCGACACCAGCCATCTTGATTACAATTTTATTTAAAAATCGCTTTTTATTCAAAATCTGAGCTAGATAGGTATAGGAAACCCTAATATAGTTTGAAAGAGCATTTGAATCTGCTTCGATTTATTTAAAAAAATACAGGGTGTTACATTTGAAATAACAAAGTTTTTATATAAAATATATCCTTAAAATAGATCAGGAACTTTTGATAGCCCTGTATAAATTTAAGGATCCAATACCATTTTTCAGTAAAGTTTATTTCTCTACCTTTAAACTCAGCATAAGAATAATTAATTCTGGAAAGTAATGTACAGGGTATTAATAGTCTATTCTATAGTAGCATACAAATTTAAATATCTTTAAATATCTAAAAAACTAAAGATTTTAAACATATTTAACCCTTATAATAAAAGCCTTTTTTGGGCCCCTAAATCCAAAAATGAAATAAAATACCGGGTGTTCCATAAGAAAATATATAACTTTGGTATGGATTTTAGTTCTGAAAGATCCTGTATATTTCAAAATAATTTTAAATTGTGCACATTGTCTTCCAACATATACCCCTAAAATATTTTGTTTGTACACCTTTCCGTTTTCGTATAATCAACCGAGGCGAATGAGGGGCGCCACCCTGTATACTATTTTTTTATTTTATTTTTGCTATATTATCAAGAAATTTTTGCTTTTCTATTATTAAACGTGGCAACGTCGACTTTTTTTGCCCGAATTCCTCTTGCTGTTTTAGATCCGTTTGTCAGATAATAGTAACTTTTACTTTTCCTTAGATGGAAACATAATAAATCGAAAAAAGGCTAAAGATTTTAACCCCCTGTAGCTACCAAACAAAACAAGATCGGGCCTATGATGATATACGAAATAAACCTTATTTTTACCTGAAAAATCTCCCCACGAGAGATGGCACATGTTTTTTGAAACACCCTGTAGATGTGTATTAAATTAGGATTGTTTATTACATATTTCAAAATTGATAATCTCATTCATTTATTTTTAAGTATATTGGTAACTTACTTAAAATACTCTCCTCTTTCAGGATGTTTGGATTGGGTTTGTGGCTTCCCGAAATCTTCGTCAGATTTGACCAGTTCGAAAAACTCTATCCCAACGCTACGCCATCAATCAAAGAACTGTCACAGCTGACCAACGAGAAAAACATCTCATGCGAATCAACCTTCGACTCAACAGTAACGTTCAACACCGTGGTCATTGGGTCAACGTCGCTGTTTATTAACATCATTTGCAGTTTGCTAGCTACCAAGCTCCATTTCAAGATCATACCCTTGACAGCCATGTTGGTCGGAGGAGTCAGCAGTGGAATTTTCTATTTCCTTACCAGCTCTATGCAGAATCTAGTTGTAGCATCGATTTTCCAAGCTGGAATGATCATTGCTAATATGACCATAGGAAGTATAGCTGTGGAACTGTATCCTACCTCGGTGGTTGGAATTGGACTTAGTTTGATTATGTTTTCTGGGAGACTTGGAGCCATGACTAGCAGTTACTTGTTTGGATACTTTATGGACACACGCTGTGAAATACCGATATTCGTTGTGGCATTTGTGGTGTTGCTGGGTGGAGTTGTAGGGTTCTTTGTGCCTAGACAAAGCGAGTATGCGAAAAGAAGGAAAATAAGTACTGCAAGTAGTGGTATAGAGGTGGCTGTGTTATCACATAATGGTGAAATTAAATTTAGGTGAAAAATATTTTTAAGTATTTCTTATATTATTTTTTATAATAAATTTACTGTGTTCTTTTTATAATAAAAAATTATTTTATATATTATTTTTATTGAAATAAAAAAATAAAAAAGTTACTTGGAGGAGCTGGGATTTGAACCCAGGACTTTCCGCATGCGAAGCGGACACTCTACCACTGAGTTACACCCCCAATTGGAGAAATGCTTTGTAATGTAGCATACTAACAAAGATCTCGGAATATAATTAGATCATAAAATATTATATATATTATAATTTTTAATAATATTACTTTTATAACATAAATAATTAATTTATAAAATGTCTCTCCATGTAGGATTTATTTACCTTTTTTCCTGTAAACAAAACAGCAATTTGTATATAAAAATATAAAATTAAAATTAACAAGAAAAGTAATTACAGTTGTTATAATACTTCTTGGTGCTATTACAATTACTTAATATAATAAGATTAAGTAATTATAATACTATAATACTGGATTACTTTACTTAAGAACTAATAAAAATTATTATTTTAAATACTTCTTTATTTGAAAAAATAAGTAGGCAACTAAATATACACTAATCCATGGAAATGACATAACCACATAACCCTAGTTTTTTAATAATTTCAGAAATATTAAAAATATTTAGCAAAAATGTTTAGGAATACTCTTCGAATTATTCTGAATACCAAGACCAAGAATATCCAAATTATAAATAAAGGTATGGATTGTTAACTGTCCTACTTTCTAAAAGTATATATAGTTGTCTTTTTTTAGCCAATTTAAAAACTACAGCTGAATTAAAACAAAAATGGGACTTGCTTACCGCAGTCCTAATTGAGAGGAAGCCCGTTATAATTCCTGAATTAAACGAATTAGAAAAAGCCTTTCAGGATTATATCGGGGCTGTTGAATTCGAGAGGAGTTTGAAAAATGATTTTGAAATTAGGCTAGAAAAGGAAAAGTTCGTGTAGTCTCTAATTTTTTTTAAACATTTTATTTATTTCAAAATATTTTTAGAAACTCGAAAACACAAGATGTAACGGATGTTGATATAGTGGTAAAACAGAGTGCTCAGGACTTTCTTGACTCATGTAAAGAGGAATTGGCAAAATTTACACCAGCTGATAAGAAAACGAGTAATTTTTAAAATTAAATTTACTTATCTTTATTTAGTTGCAATATTCTAGGTGCAGATAGAAGTAACGATATTAAATCACTTAAAAGAAAACTGGATAAACATTTAGTCTTGGTATTAAAACAAAAAGTGGGTAGTCAAGATTTTTTTATATTGCCTCAAGGTGAACGGGAGGATGGTGAAACTTTACGACAGTGTGCTGAGAGAGTTTTAAAAGAAAAATGTGGTAGTGACATTAAAGCTCATATATATGGAAATATTCCTTGTGGTTTTTACAAGTATTTGTATCCACATGATGTAAGAAAAGAGAGAAATAGTCTAGGAGCAAAAGTATTGTTTTTTTTTCAATATTTCTAAATGTTTGTTATAAATATTTTTCTTTTAGATTTTTATATATTTTGCTAGATATAAATCTGGTCAAATATCTGATAAGAAAAGTGAATATCAGTGGTTAGATAAATCGGAACTAGATGGAGTGCTTCCTGAACCGTACAAAAAAACTCTGCTGCCAATACTATTTGATTAAGTTTAACTAAATTATAAGTACAAATAAAACGTTGTTTAGTTTGTTTTTGTTGATTTATTAATAAATAATATAAATTAGTTTTTACAATACTTAAAACTAAGCAGTCTTTTTTTGTGAGATTCATTATGCTATATTTTCATAACAGTCTTCATCAGATTTGGGCAATATTTCATCGACCAATTTGTAGAATTCTTGAAAGGGACAAAAAGAATCACATCCTGGCAGTTTTAGTTGAATAGGCTCTTCATTTTTGTAGTTTTGATAAAATAGCTGAAATAAAAAGGTGAGTATATTTATTGTAATTATTTTAATTAATAGTATAGTTACTTTAATTCCATGAACGCCGTTTATGAGATGTAACTCAAATAGAATGTATGATCCATAGGGTGGAACATCTGAAAGCTTATATGCGTTCAAAGAAAGCAACATTGTTGCAACGTTTAGCTCATGTCCTGAATAGATAAACATTTTTCTTTGGGATGGTTGAATTTGGTTGTCTATTTTGGCTTTTGTGTCACTTAGAATTTTTTTCAACAAGTATCCTATAAAAATGTATTATAATAGCTATTTATGTAACTAGTACCTAAAATGATGTTTTTTAGGACGAATCATTACTGTTTGCGGACGAGGCGTTAGCCGAGTCCGAAATAGTAGATGAGTCCTAAAAAACATAATTTAGGTACGTGTTACATACACTATTTTTTGTCATACGCTTTTTACAGTTTTTTAGAACTTTTAGGTAGCTCTTGTCATTGGCCTTTGTGGAGCATGTAGAAGAAGAATTGTACTCTCTACGAGTGCAAGACATCATAGAAAAAAAGACAACAGCTGCCTTTGATTTTGCTGCGGATACAAAACTAATATCAAAGAGTGTTTCCGGTGGTGAACAGAAGGGAACGTTGTCAATCAGTTGAGTTGTATAGAAAATATGCTTGTCTTAGGCCAAAAAAATGTACCACATGATTATGTCTTGTTTGTGACTGTAATTTAAGAATATTTTAATTTAAAGCCTCTTTTAAATAGGTACCCTAGGTACTTACTTTAAACAAATAACTTAGCTTTTGATATTTTTTGTAGTTTTGATAAAATAGCTGAAATAAAAGGTGAGTATATTTATTGTGATTATTTTTAATTAGTTACTTTAATTCCATGAACGCCGTTTATGAGATGTAACTCAAATAGAATGTATGATCCATAGGGTGGAACATCTGAAAAGCTTATATGCGTTCAAAGAAAGCAAGATTTTGTGACAAATTTCGAATGACAAAATAAAACAACCAAATAACGAATTTAGACATTTTAGTCCATAAAGGTTGCCATGACGACCTTTACGGCCTAGGCCGAAAAAGAAACATTTTACGGACTGAAATGAGTCCGTAAAATAGCTGTTTTTGGGAGCGTATGACAAAAAATAATTATTAATTGCCATTTAATGGAAAACTTTGGTTATTAATTGGTATAGATGCCTGTACCTATAGCATAATACATTTATAACTTTGCATTAAATGTTTATATAGTTTTTCTGCAAATTATAAATTATGGCTTACATTGTTTAAATGTATTATTAAGATATTTTACCTGAAATTATGCTCTTTATTTCAGTATTATTAGTCATAATATAATACATATCCACAGCAGCAGAATGAAGTGGTTCTGGATACACAGATTTGGTCCAATCTTCCAAGGAATAGCCCAGTTCCTCCTGTATATAAAACCCAACATACAAAAAGAAAGCCTGGACAATATCCATTTTTCTTTCAGCCCTTTCTGTAAGGATATCAAACGTTTCTCCATATCTATTATTGAAATACTTTGATATGTCTGGTCTTTGTGTAATTTCTTTCATTAGTGCTTCATACTTGTTAATACAAGCATCGAATGGGAATAATTCCTGTAAACATATAAGACGTTAAGAAGTGAAAAATAGAAATAGAGAAGTCTATAGACTGTGGTGGAATATAATTTGAATGATTCTCCCCTTTAAAGTAAAATCACAGCCTATATCTTGACCAGCTAACCGACTTACGATCATTAGCATGATAAATTTGCTTAACTTATGTAAACGTCCGCGTTTTGAGCTAATAATTATTAATCATATAGTTATATTTCTTAGCTCATATTCATAGACAAATTCCTCACTTACTAAGGAGACTGATATTCATTAGTTATGTTAATATGAACACTCGACGTAACAGATTTTTTTGAAATGAAGCATTATAAACCACCTTAAAACATACCTTATCTTGACTAGTTGGTACATAATTAAAAGGTATAGGTTGCCATGGTAATTGAGACCAAATTTGAGATCCTTTTGGTGGGTATAGTGCTGCCAACATTAGCTGAAGCGACATTTTTGTTCTGTTATAATCGCTAGATCTTGCTTCCAAGTAGTTGATATTCCATGTATCTCCTAAGAATTTGTCGTATCTTTTTCTCAATTCGGTGCCTAAAGTATATTCAGTCATTTTTCCTTCCTGTAAAAAATTTAATAAATATTTTTTCAATGTATAGACTTATAAAATAAATGTTTTACATTGGTGAGTTGTCCATAGCCTTCTGGATAGAAGCTCTCATTGTAATAAGGCCCTTTAGGATATAAGCTCACTGCGTCTGGATTTCTATGACCATGCCTGAACAACTGTAAATAAAAAAGTACTTTAACCAGGTTATATTATATAGATTTAATGTTTCAGTATGAGGGTGTCTCCCACATAGCAAAATAATATACCTAGCAGGTGCTCAGAATAAACATTTTTGGTATAAGGATATTGGAAATATGTTCTGAGCATGTGCTAAGAATTACACTTATATATTCTGGTAATGTGCTCAGCATAACCTTTTGGCCGCAAGTAGTATGTGCTATGCACTTGGCTTAAGAATGTTCTAAGAATATTTTAAAATATGCTAAGAATATTCTTGTTTTTATACATATAGCATATTCTGTGAACATACTATAAAAAATTAGGGAGGTAAATTTCGTTCAGCACAGGTAGACAGTTACGTCACATCATGACATCTTTCTCTAAAATATCCAAATACATGCGTAAAGAAACTGTCTACCTGTGCTGAACGAAATATACTACACTTTTCTAGGTATCCAATGGAAATTTTAAATAATAGGAAATCATATACTTACAGCTCCCATTGGTAGATAATATTTAAAAATAAAACAAAAACCCATGTTCCATTAACAAAAATATACAAAAATTAACGTAAACATATCCAAAACGTAGTAAATCTACAATAATGATACTAAATTGGCAACACTGTTTCGTATTAATCGTATTGCAGCTTCGAAGAGCCGCGACCAGAAGGCGCTGAACTCCGCTGAAGACGCGCACGGTTTGGAACCATGGTTGAATTTCAGAATATCGCCTATTTTTCGGATAAAATAGCCAAAATATGCGATGTTTTGAGCAGGAGGACCGAGTTGTTGTATATATCCAGCAAAGTATATTGAAGTATATAGCTAAATATTCTTGGCATATGATAAGAATATATGCACAAGAATATACTTTAAAGAATATAGGTGGCACATGTCCATTTATTCCTGGAACATGCTCAGAATATAAGTATAGGATATAAGTTCACGCACATGCTAGGTATATGCTATAGATATGAATATGCTTTCATTGCTATGTGGGCTACTTATTTTTTAATTAATTATTTTGACGGTAGGTATGGTATCCAAATCCAAATCTCCAAAAAAATTTAAATCAAATTAAATAACGATACATCGTGAAAATATTACGGCTCATTGTACACTTTAAATACTACAGAAATTTAAAAAAAATAATGTTACAATTTTGTATTTTATCTAAATTAAATTTAAACAGTTTTGTTTAAATAAAAAATACGTCTCCTACGTAGGTGGCGCCCCCTACAGGAGTCATATTGATATCAAAATCAAATCACAATTAATAAAATTAAAATGAAAATAAAAAAATAATAAATCATATATTTTACCTAATTTATTATTAGATTTTATTGCCAATAGTTATTATTACTATTAGTCCAACCTACAGCAATTTCAAATAAAAAATAATGGTATTTAACAGTAACTCTAAAACTATGCATTTACATACCCATGTTTATAGGAACTTTTTTTCATATTTTTTTGATTTTTGAGTAATCTATGAGTACTTATTTTAAACTTTCGCAAGTTAACGATATTAAATTTTTTTAAAGGTTGTTATTTAGACTTGGATCAAGGCAAATTAATAAAATTGCGTTTATTTCATCAATGAGGTCGAAATCGACAAAATATCAAGAGACAATTTTTAATCGCCATTAAACTGCTTACACTATTTCCCTAGCAAGAGAAAAAAAGTCAGTGGCATACGCGTTTTTTTTTAGAAAAATATTCCAGTGATAACCCATATGCACGTCACTGGTGAATATGTGGACAATTTTTTAGCATTAAAATGTGTCGCATTTATAGTAACTTTTACCCTCAAAATTTCATTCGAAACGCTAAAAGTACTTGCAAGAAAATTAGAATAAATCGAAAAAATAATAAGACTTTCACACCCTGTAGCTACGAAACGAAGCAGAATCGGACTTATGTTTATACGAAAAATAAATCTCATTTTTACGCGAAGAATCTCCCCACGAGAGATGGCACATGCTTTTTTAAATACCCTGTGTATTAAGTTAATTTTTCTTACCACATGTACCAACTGCAACGTATCCTCATTACTATCTATTTCTGGATTAGGCCTATGAAAATGAGGTCCACGATGGTGCATAAACCCATGATGATGTGCATGGTGTCCACCAAAAAATGGCGAAAAACTACTAACACCCGAATACACTACAAAAAATAATAATACTGTTCGGTAAATCATATTTTCAAAACTAAATACAATCAACCTTGCCATTCTATTTATACGATACTACAATAAGGGGGTTTGGGTTTATAGTTTTTCCGTTAGACACACATTTCTTGTATTTTCTCGTAAAATTCTACGTCAATGAATGTAAAATCCCTCGTTCTATACTAGGTATTGGCCTGATAACATTTAGAAATACAAAAATCTTGTTAAAAATCATTCGCAATACCGTACGTAATCCATTAGCGCTTTGAAATCACGAAATCATGCATATTCAATAAATTATGAATAATTTGTCTTAAAGCGGTGGCTTGTGGGAACTCCCATTCAGTGTTAACTGGTTTATTGTAATTGATAGTTACTCACTGATCTGATAAATATTCTTAAATTATGATTCATTCTTTTCTTCCACTCTAGTGTCGTGGTTTAACAGTTTCAATAATGAATTTTGTGCTTGCCATATTGTAGATATTTCCCTAGTAGGATCGCTAAAGATGTTATTACGGTTTGCTATAAAAACGGCTTCTTTAAATTTACGCTTTCTCCAGTGAGGTTCCCTGTGGATAACCCGAGTTTTCGACCACTTTATATTGTGCTGTTGTCCGCAATACGTGGCTTTATTGTTTCATCTTTTTGTACTTGTTTTTTGTGCTCGCTAAGTCGTACATTTAGGATGTTTAGTCTCTTCAATATACGATTCATTGTATTCAAAAGGTACTTGGTAGATGCACTCTTTCTCTTGTTTTAACGATTCCGGCTTTGTTTTTGTTAGAACGCTTCTTAAGATGCCCATTCAATTCGCCGACAGTTCTAGGACTGTGTGATCTAAACCGAAGATCTAAACTTAGTCAGGCCACACACAATGCAGTTACGTCGAACGATGTGATCCTCAGTTTTGGGACTGTCAGTTTTTGAATACCTATATACAGGGTGGCCCATCGAAAACGTTCCGCAAGGCATAACGGCCAGGGTATTTTTTCTCAGAAAATTCAAAAACACGTCAATTTTGTTTGTGAGGGGGACAACTTTTGCCCCAGAATGATTGCAAAATCTTCAACCCTCTAAGCGGGGGTATCATTCCCCAATTTTTTTCAAATGGGAAGGGGGGTCAAGTTGTACCGCAATAAAAAGGGCAGAAAATATGTAGGATTGAAATTTGAAAAGTTTATTTAAACATTTATCAGAGTAAATGATAAGGATAAATTCCTTCGACCAATTTGCTGTTTTTTCTTATTATTTCTAGATGTTTACGCATTTTTTCACTTGCCACAAGATTGAACGATCAGGTACGGTAGTTGCTAGATAGCTGTTCTGTGATTATGCGTTGAAGTTCTTCTCAATATCGTTAAACATTTTAACAATTATGGTGTACTCACTTGCAGAAAAAGTGGAAATAGTCGAACTTTATTTTAAAAATAATGAATGTGGCAATCGGTTTGCGCAGATATTCAATGAACGCCATCCTGATAAACACCTTTATGGCAAAATTGTTCGGGAGTTATTAGCAAAATTTCGCGAAACTGGTTCCGTTATGAATAAAAAGAGGCAGAGGGAAAATCCTGTAGTAAATGAAGCTATGGAGGTATTCCATATTGGGCCAAGTAGCCATGGATAGTACGCTGAGTACAAGAAAATTAGCCAATGAGACCGGCGTGAATCGTGTCATCAAGTGTCCAAAGGATATTAAAACTGTCGGTACTGGGCTGAGGACAACCCCAGGGTTTTTCACACAAGGTGGTTTCACACACAGGTGCAGACACAAAACCCTCAGAAATTGATCGTGTGGGCTAGTGTTTTTGGAAATTCTATTGTGGGTCAGTTTAACGATATTGAGGACTTCAACGCAGAAGTCACAGAACAGCTATCTAGCAACTACCGCACCTGATCGTTCAACCTGGCAAGTGAAAAAATGCGTAAACATCTAGAAATAATAAGAAAAAACCTCAAATTGGTCGAAGGAATTTATCCTTATCATTTACTCTGATAAATGTTTAAATAAACTTTTCAAATTTCAATCTTTCATATTTTCTCAATGACTCGACCGATTTTCATAAACGAGGCGGGGAAATATAGAGAATAGAAAGCTCTTTTCATTGCGGCGCCACTTCACCCCCCTTCCCATTTGAAAAAAGTTGGGGGATGACACCCCCGCTTAGAGGGTTGAAGATTTTGCAATCATTTTTGGGGCAAAAGTTGTCCCCGTCACAAATAAAATTGACGTGTTTTTGGATTTTTTGAAAAAAAAATACCCTGGCTGTTACGCCTTGCAGAACGTTTTCGATGGGCCACCCTGTATATATAATTCAATAACCTTTCTACCCGAAGGTGTAAGGTATACTAAATTAAATAAATTCACTTAATTGCTACACTATACACAAATTGTTTCCATTTATTTTTGTCTCTTGCTAAACTTTTGGCTTCTATTAATGTTAGTCCTCTAACCTGCACTATCTCCGCTGTTGTGTCATTCTATGTTTTACTCGGTCTTCCCTTTGGCCTCTTTCCCTGCATTTTCGCTTCTCACACGGCTTTTACTGGTATGTCGTTGTTTATTCTAATCAAATCTCCATACCACCTAAGCTGACATTGCTCAATTTTATTCAGAATCGAATCTACTTTTAGTTTCTCTCTTATAAAGCTATTCCTTAGTCTATCTTTCCTTGTTACCCAAGTACTCTTCGTAGATATAACATCTCCATTCTTTGGATCTAACTCTTCAATCTTTTAGTTAATACCCAACTTTCACAGCCAAAAATCAACGTCGGTATGAATACTGTCTTGTATACACTCATCTTCAATGCTCTCGAAATCTCTTTTTTATTTAAGAAACTGTTCTTAATGGACGTGTTGCCAATTCTTTCGATGATTTCCGTCCCTTCATCTCCTGTGTTGCTGATGTTCACTCCCAAATATTTGTATGAATCGAGTTGTTCCAAATTGATGTCATTTATCTCTATATTCATATTTACTTCTGTTTTACTTAAAAGCATAACTTTTGTTTTAATCTCATTGATTTTTAGATTTCTCTCTCCTAGAGCTTCCAGCCAGATTTTTAAATTTCTTTTCAGTTCTTTTTCGCTGTTAGCTAAAATTGCCAAGTCATTTGCAAATGCACTTTTGAACTGAAGGAATGTGCTTTCACCACACACACACAAACGTATCGTCGGTTTTAATCGAATGATCTTCAAGTAAAAATGTTTTTAAATACAAAAAATACACTTCTCGTGCTTTTGTTATTGCAAGAGCCAATTAAACAGACAAAAAGGCGTTTTTGAGTGAAAGATTGGTTGTTACAACATGATACAATTATCTCATATGAAGTGCGAAAATTAAAAACTAGTGCAAAATAGATGTCCTTAAAAACTACCTTAGAATGGATGACACACGTTTTAATGAAATTTTAAATATGGTTAAGCCCTTAATATCAAAGAAAAATACAAAAAACATTCACCTGAACGCTTTGATTTTCGCGCTTTTTAAGTTCCTTTCGAAAGCACTTTACAAATTGTTTATTTTTTTCTTTAAATAATCAATAGTAGCAATTTTTATAAACTTTAGTTTTTTCCTGTCTTTAGTTATTTCCTTGTAAAACTTAACTTTTAGTTTTCCACAGACAGCACAATTAGGCCTATACAAATCAATAAAATCGGTTAAAAAAGTCGTATTATTACTTAAATCGCTCATCTTGAGAGTACAAAATTTCCAACTTGTCAAAAGATGGGAACGTACGATTAGAACTGTCGATTTTTGCCATACACTTCAGTCGGTCGTGAGATTTAAGTAATCTACAGATTCAGACAGCCTGTATGTGTATGGAGAAATTTTAACTGACGATATACAAATCGACAGTTCTGGACTGCCGGCGAACTGTATGTGGATGGACACCTTTAGAGTCGATTCAGATTTGAAGACAGTTTAGTGTTGTATGTTCCATCCTTAGGTTCCATCATATCGGAGATGGGAAACAGCTCAGCCAAAAAGTGTGCAACAAGAGGCACGCCACACAAGGAGGGGTATTATCACCTCTGCTGTGGCTGATTGTAATGAACCCGATCCTGACCTCTCTGACAACGAAGGGAATTAGGATAAAGGCATATGCAGACGACGTGGTAATATTGATCGTTGGCAAAGACTTGCAGATCAGTGACATCATGGAATCTGCTCTGAAGAAGTTAACGGAATGGGCAAAAAGGAATGGTTTGGGCATCAACCCAGACAAAACCGAACTCATTCTGTATACAAGAAAATACAAGATACCCAAGTTCACGCTACCAAAGCTGGAAGGGAAGACACTTGTACTTGCTAAGGAGACAAAATATTTAGGAATCATTCTGAACTCGAAGCTTTCCTGGAAAAGGAACACGGAGGAAAGGATGATAAAGGGAATAAATGCATTCTATGCATGTAAAAAAACTATTTGGAAAGAGATGGGGTCTGCAACCGTACATTATACACTGGATGTACACTGCTATAGATAGATCAATCATCACTTATGGAGCACTAGTATGGTGGAAAGCGGTACTTAAAGAGACTAATAGACAAAGCCTCGCAGAAGTACAGCGATTAGCAGCTCTAGGTACAACTGGAGCAAGGAACAACACAGCGCAAGCTGCGCTAGAAGCAATTCTGGACTTGCAATCAATCGACTGGCTCGTGAAGGATCTGGCCGCTAAGGGTGCCCTAAGATTAAGGGAATCCAATCTGTGGAACCAGACCAACTACGGTCACTCGAGGATATTGCCAGTGATAGGGAAAATCATGGTGAACACGAGTCCACATCTGCTAGACCAGAAAACGGACTATATGCTCACCAAACATGATTTTGGAGAAAAGATAAGGATACGCATCCCGACAAGAGAAGAATGGGAAAGCAACCAGTAATGAACACTCAAGAGATAGCAGTCTACACAGATTCCGCAAATTCAGGGGCACAGGTATAGGCATCTTCTCAGAGAAACTAAATATCTGACGATCTTTGAGGCTATCGGATGGCTGTAATGTTCTACAAGCAGAGGTTTACGCCATAAAGGAAGCGGCTAGATGTAGAGAGAAAATTGCTGGTAGACGAATAGGGGATATAGTGATATACTCTGACAGCTTGGCCGCTTTAAGTACCATCACCACGCAATCAGTGAGATCGAAAACTGTGATGGAATGCCGAGAAGCACTGCCCTGGCTGCGTCGGGGCGCGGCTACTCTCGGTGCTGGGTGCCAGGCCACAGCAATGTGTTGGGCAATCAGGAAGCAGATAGACTCGCCAAAGACGGGGCCAGGGAGAGGCCGTGGCAGATGACCCACCACTTGTGACGATCAACACACTGAAGGAGGCTATAGGAACTGCCATCAAAGCCAACCAGCAAGAGACGTGGCAATACCGTGAGGACTGCTCGAAGACTATGGCCAGTGGTAGATAGCAAAAGACAAAACAACTATTAGAGCACAAAAGGACCTAGTACGCATAATTGTAGGTGTCACTGGAAACTGTCCCGTCACTCACAAACCTCGTAAGATGGAAAGTTTCGGACGACGACTACTGCAGAGAATGCGGAGAGGACGAAGAAACCATAGAGCACCTGCTGTGCCACTGTCCGGCACTGGAATACCGACGCTTTAAAACTTTAGGGCAAGGTTTTTTGGAGGGACTAGAGGAAGCAGCAGAAGCCAACATCAGCGACATCGGGAACTTTGCAAAGAGTTGGAAGTGCTTTAACGCAAAGAAAGAATGAGATGAAGGTTTGGTAAAACAATACAGGGGTATCGCAATGGGCCCAAGGCCTCCGAGTGAGGGATCAAATATGATCCCAAACCCCAGCAGCCTAACCTAACCTAACCTTAGTGTTGTATTTTTTGGTTATTCGCCTAATCTTTTCCGACGTTTTTTTACAAATATAACAAACTGTAATAATATATATAATACGATAATAGTCAATTTGGCCATTATTTTATTATTTATTTTAGTTTAATACAACAGATTTATATTATTATATAAAAAAAGTCGTGTTTCATCCTGTGCATTCTTCGTCACTGGATGGTATTATATCGTCATAAAGAGCGGAGAAATCATCAAATGAACAAAAAGTACCACAGTCGGTGATCTCAGCTTCAATTGGATCGTCTTCCTCGTACAGTTGATATAAAACCTACAGAAAATCAAATCAAAATGTTAATTAAATTTACTATGCAAACAGAATAAATTTTCTCTTACTTTGAAACCGTAAACTCCGTCAATTTCATGCACTTCAAACAGAACGTATGACCCGTAAGCCGGAATATCAGTAATATGCTTGATACCCAGGGAGAGTATCATGGAACCAACGTTCATTTCATGGGCAGAGTACAGGAACATTTTTCTGGTAGATGGACTTAAGGTACCATTGATCAGTTGCTCTGTATCGTTCAAGATTTTCTTCAAAAGATATCCTAAATAAAAGAGAAAAATAAGTAGTTTTTAAATCTTTCTAATCGATGCGGCAACACTGGGCGTCGAACAAGCCGAGATCCAGGTAATTACTTGGTATTTGTAGGTGATTATCGATAGCAGCCGGCGGCTCTCAAAATGTTGCCATTATTTTTTTAAATTTTCAAAGTTAAATAACTCGGTTATTATCAATTTACTAGCGTGTACCCGCGACTTCGTTCGTTTGTAATGGTGATGGTAAAGCAAAGCAAGAATTTCCCTTAACATACAAACTGGATAAAATTTTCTCACATTTATGTCAGCATGAGAAAAAACAATATGGCGATATTAATATATAACATGGTAATATTTAAGGGTATATGATATAACTTGGTAATATTTTTAATATTTTTCATCACGTTGGAATTTGACTTTCGAAAAATCCGTTTGCCAAAAATAAGCTTTTTACGTCAAGCAGTTTAAGCAGAATCGTTGTTAATCAATTACCCAACTTTTTGGAACACCCTGTATGATTTTTTAAAAAATTTCAAAATATGTAAAAAAACAAAATAAATTATGCGTGTCCAAGCGTTTTCCCGAAAGATTAACCGATTTTTGAATAACAAATATTGTAATATTTTAGGGGCGTTTCCACCCTCTTGGAATTTTAGATTCGAGAAACCCCTCCTTATCGCACCTCTACACCCCACAGTCAATCCGTTTACCAAAAATAAGCTTTAAACGTCAAGCAGTTTAAGCAGAATCGTGGCTACTCAATGGTCATATTTTATGGAACACCCTGTATAAATTTTTAAAAAATCTTAAAATATGTAAAACAACAAAGTAAAATATACGTGTTGAAGAGTTTTTCCGAAAAACTCACCGGTTTTTAAATAAAAAATATTCTAATATTTGAGGGGTGGTTTCATCCCCTTATTAGAATTCGAGTTTCGAAAAATCCCTTCTTATCGAACCTCTACACCCTAAAGTCAATCCGTTTTCCAAAAATCAGCTTTTTACGTTAAGCGCTTTAAGCAGGATCGTGATTAATCAATGACCAGATTTTTCGAAACACCCTGTATACATTTTTAAAAATCTTAAAATATGTAAAAAAATAAAATATACGTGTTTAACCGTTTTTTTCGGAAACTTGACCGTTTTTTAAATAAAAAATATTGTAATATTTGAACTGGAATTTCGAAAAATCCCATCTTATCGAACCTCTACACCCTAGAATCAACCTGTATGCCAAAATTGAGCTTCTTACGTTGAATGGTTTGAGCAGGATCGTGATTAATCAGGGTGCAGCCACACTATCCTAAAAACGGCGTATCGGCGTAACGGCGTAATGACCTTGAATAGATTTCCAGTAATTCTATTGGCTGAAACATTCATCTGTCAGAAATTTTATCTGTCAAATTCATCTGTCAAAATTTCAGCCAATAGAATTACTGGAAAATCGATTGATTACGTCGTTACCTATAATACGCCGACATTTTAGGTGAATAGTCATGGCTGCACCCTCAGTGAGTCCGGTCACTTAAGGATTTTATATATTAGTATGATTTTAAAAATGGTAACTACCCAAGCGAAAATATATTTCTTTAAAATACTTGCAGTTTATTTTTGGGACACCCTGTATAATAGTCTCTAAATCGATCTCGATCAGACAATATCTAAAATTCTTGGTAATTTCAGATTTATGTTGTATATCCAAAATTAAAGGTAAAGAAGGATATTAGAGATTTGTGAAATGAAGAAAGTATTATAATATATAAGAATTGTAATAATAATAACATTTATTTATATGTTTACATTGAATTAAAATTTATCATTTTACGGATTTTTCTTAATGGTTTTAAACTTATTATTAGAATTATTTTATTTCTTTCCAAGTTATTTAATTTCTAGTTATTTACAGGCATCAAGCGTCGGAAGACTTCTCTAGCAACTTTTTTCCGTCTCCCGCGTTTCGGCGCGTTGCAGGTCTTATTATGGGAAAATAATTTTGCATTCGAGTCTTTTCAGTTGGCTTTTGACTAGGAACTAGTGATACGTATCACTGGTAGAATTGTATTTTTAAATGTAAATTAGGCAAATCGATTTTCAATAAAGGAATATGATCAAGAGTTAGTCTTCTCTCACTAGAGACAGATGGACGAAAATGCCTTTCTATCAAAGATTTAATATAATTGAAGGGTGTAGAGGCAAAACCGGCAATCTCCACTTTTTAACAAAAGTGAGAATCTTCTTTTCTTAAATTCTAATTACCCTATAATGCCAAATAACAATATGAGGTTTTTCACCGCATAATCTAATATACACATCAGAATAAATAATAATAATAGAAATACAAGACTAAATTAAGACTTAGTTTGTGATTTATATTAAGATCTTTCTTATAATGGCTATTATGTCTTCATCTTAATACTATATTATGCTTTGTCACGGAAAATAAATGTTTAAAATCTCCTTAATTTTTGCATATCCTATTCCATCTCTTCTGAAAAAATATGATGAGTAGAGATACTCGGTGTTTTGCTTCTAAAACCCTCAATTGAGGACTGCGTAAAATCTTTCCTTTATATTTTGTAATACTGAAAAATATGATCTTGTCTTTTATTAAATCTGGAAAAGAGATGTTAAAATTCTCCAAACTTCTTTCTTTTTTTGTTAATCGTATGAGTCCAAACTTTTCCTCACCCCCTCTTCCTCTTCCTCTGTTAGAAGAGCAAAAAAATACGCTTTATGTCCATGACTTGAACTCATTGCTTTTAAAACTAAACTACAGTAAGTAAAACACTTCGACTATAACTAAATAGCGTTGCCGCGTTTCAAAAAGCGCGCTATAGTGGGCGCAGTTCCTTCGCAGCCGGAAAAATTCTCTTCCCAGCGCCGCGCCGCGTCAGCGGTCTAGGCGACAACCTTTAAACAGGATCGTAATTAATCAATGACCAGATTTTTCGAAAACACCCTGTATACATTTTTAAAAAAATCTTAAAATATGTTAAAAAAGAAAATATATATATATACGTGTTAATCGTCATTTCCCAGCCAACTGGACACCGTTTTTTCGATCATGCGGTATATATTGACAAAAAACACTGAAAAAAGCACATATTTGTTTTCTACTGAAAATAATTCCAAAATAACTTACAATCTGGCAACATAGAAGATGTGCGCATGCGTAGTGTCTGTGACTATATGCAGCAAAAACTCGTTTCAAGGTCGGCCACCGGATCCACACCATTACCAGGATTTTATATATTAGTATAGAATTTAAAAATGGTAAAGAGAAAATATATTTCTTTAAAATACTTGCACTTATTTTTGGGACACCCTGTATAATAGTCTCTAAATCGATCTCGACAGACAATATCTAAAATTTCTTGGTGAAATTATTTTATGTTGTATTAATATGACAAACAACAACTGCTGATATAATAAACTATTTACACTAACTCTATTGTAGGTAAACACAGACATATTTTACCTGCAGCAATCTGTCGCAAAGCTGTGGTGTTCGTTATTAGATAGTAATAATCAACGGCTGCAGAATGAAGTGGTTCTGGGTAAACTGTACTGACCCAGTCTTCAAAAGGATACCCGACTTCTTCCTAAAAGACAAATCATGGTAAAAAGTTATGAACTGGGACACTTGCTTCTAAATATGAACTAAAACAAATGTATCATGTAACAACGTCTACTAAGCATAAGATCATTAGTAAATCTTTTATAAATTGTTGCCATATTGTGGGAATTTCTACACATAGATTGCTACCCAAGTAACATTTTCACGACTTGCGACCACATGTTTACTAAACACAACGTTGGATTAGTTACAAAAAATAGTTAGCTCCGTACCTTGGGTATTAAAATAAATTTAAACGTTTTTATAACGTTGTGCCGACGTTGGACTAGTACTACAGCAAAGTAGAAGCTTCTGCGACGTCGAATAAACGTTGTCTTGTAACCATTTTTGCTTAAGTGATCTTTAGGTGATTCGGACAATGTAGTTACAACGTTGGACAATAGAAAGTTTTCCGACGTCAGTTTCATGACCTATTCCAACGTTATGCAAACGTCGTCTGTTTTGCTAATTCCAACGTTGTTTAGATTTCCTTATTCTTACGTTGGTAGGACGTCGAGTCACTAACTTTTTGCAACTGTATTGAACCATAACCTTAAATCTTAAATGTTCTCTTCATTGTTCAGTCAGACAGTTCAGTGCTGTTTTTGTTTATATAAAAAAAAACTTAATTAAAATGGGACATAAGAAAGGTACATATAAAACTAAATTTAAATATACATCCACATATATTACCGATAGTTTATTCACTCCCTCGTTTATTTAGATTATAGAGGGCGGCGCAAGCTAGACTCTAGGATGACTAAATTAGGCAATCTTGCGACTAGTATACTACCTGTTAAGGCCGAACTGTGACTTTATTAGTCCAGTATGCGACTACTCGAACTACTCCATCTTAATCTCCAAAACAACAAAGTGAAAGCCGCCATGTTGTTAAATAAGAAAATGTTTCGTTCCTAATATAGCAATTCCTGCTTTTTGAATACATTAACTTGAAATATTTGACCCTAAAAAACACGCGGAAACTATTTTCGACTGCTTTGAATAAATTATTTTCATTTTACTAAAAAAAAACTCAAGAAAATTTTAAAACTTCTTTAATTTTAAGGCCCATTAGTATTTTTCAAAGTAGAAACAATACATTTATCAATAAAGTTGTTTGCGATTTAACTTTTTGCCTTGGGTAACGAGTTACAGAGTCGGTTAAAGTGTTTCAATAATTATGATCTTCAAAACATCCTCCACATTTTAAATACTTTTGTTTTGTTTTCCTTCACTGCCATCTGACATATGTCTCTAACTAAATCATAAAAATAATATTTTTACTATAATTATCCCAATTTAGGATAAAACGACTTAAACGCCATATTAGTTTTGTATTTCTGTGAATTAGGATTTTAAAGCAACGTTGCAGTTTGTACTAAATGAGGCTTCTAACCAACGTCGGTATCCAACGTCGTTTCGACCCAAAAATTATTCTCCAAACTAGTGTAGATTAGGGTTGGCACGAGGTTGTGCCGACGTTGCGCCCCGACGTTTGGTCGCGTGACACAACGTTGTCCCGACGTCCAAATGCTGCTTGGGTAAGGATGTTAATATTTTTAATATTAAACTAAAATGTCTTCTTTAAATTTACACTATCTTTTCATGAGATTTTTTGTGGACAAGGTTTTTGAGTTAGGACCACACATACTGTGTGTAATACCTAAATATTTTTCCTCCTGTTTGCGTAAGCTTTTTAAGTTTGAAATCTCGCACATTTAGAGGAAGTTTTGTCTCTGCAATATACGACGCACCACATTCTAAGGTTCCTGGTAGATGCAATATTTCTCTTGGTTTGTCTGATTTTGTATTAAGATGCATCTTAGAGTAGTACCAAAATAGGAACTATCGGAAACAGGAAATAGCCATCTTATCCAAATCCAGACAAAACAACGACAAGACAGAAACGTTCATGTTTTACGACAAATCCAATACATTTCTGCGTCATTTTTGTCTCATTTTTGTTTTGTTTCAAAATTCGGAGACTTTTCAATGTCCCGTCTCGAGTCGGTAAAGATCTGTCGGTAAGCCTATCTAGTTCAGTCATTGGGGATCAAAAAAGGGGCCTGCTGGGAAAAAAGTCCGGAAGTTTTGAAACTTTGCAGGTTTATAGGTTTTGGGGTCTCTAACTAAAATCCATAAAATGCACACTCCTAGACTTGCCGCCGGCGCGGCGCCGCCATCTTGCCAAAATGGCGCTCAAAATCGATATTTTGTAAATATCTCGAAAACTATGTGTTTTTCGCAAAAATTTGAAGAGAACAAAATTAAAGAGAATAAAATTTCCTATAAAAAAGGTTATATGAAAATTTTCGCTAAAGTTAACCCTTTAGGCACAAAATCCCTGGATGTTTTACAATTTTGCGTAAAGGATGATATACATATACAGGGAGTTTCAAAACAAATGCGAAAAACTTCAGGGGGTGATTCCTTGTTCAAAATAAAGGGTGGTTTGCTTTATAAACGTTGGGTCAAAAGTCAACCATTAATGTTTTTATTTTTTATCTTGAAAACGAAAAGCGATAGACTAATGAAATTTTATGGAAGCATTACTGTTATGAAAACACACTTTTTGGTAATTTTCTCACTTTTTTAAAATGAGTGGAAGGGGTTGAAATAAAATACCCCTATCATTCTTGCTAACAAAATTTAAAGAAAAATCAAACACATGCAAAAAAATTAATTTGGATAGTTTAGTTTGTTTAGAAACTTTTTTATCTCTTGTGTTTTTTTGATAAAACTCACCGATTTGAAATTAAAAAATAAAATGTAAAGCATTAGGTACATGTCAGGACAAAATATATTTTTAGATAAAGAATCTAGTGGGCTGCTGTAATTTTTATAGGAAAAAATCTAGTCGGCCGCTGTCACTTTTTAGGATGTTTCTAATATTAGTTTATTTGGCATTACTCTACTGCAAATGTAACGATATTATTACGAAATAAAACTGTTTGACAGCAGCCCACTAGATTCTTTATTTAAAAATGTTTTTTGTCCTGACATTATTTTTTAATTTCAAATCGGTGAGCTTTATCAAAAAAACACAAGAGATAAAAAAAATTCTAAACAAACTAAACTATCCAAATTAATTTTGCATGTGTTTGATAAGATTTTTCTTTAAATTTCGTTAACAAGAAGAATGATAGGGGTAGTTTATTTCAACCCCTTCCGCTCATTTTAAAAAAGTGAGAAAATTACCAGGAAGTGTTTTCATAACAGTAATGCTTCCATAAAATTTCATTAGTCTATCGCTTTTCGTTTTCAAGATAAAAAATAAAAACATTCTTTTTCCGCCATCTTTGTACCGCGATAACTCCCTAATGGTTGACTTTTGACCCAACGTTTATAAAGCAAACTACCCTTTATTTTGAACAAGGAATCACCCCCTGAAGTTTTTCGCATTTGTTTTGAAACATCCTGTATATAGTCGATTTTCCGAAATCAAATGTCGATTAGTGTTTGGCTAAAACTAGTTTTAGTTTAGTTTCTTCAATTTTGTCAATGAAACAGTGGCGTATCATTAATTTGCTCATTAATTTATGAATAATTAATTGTCGTGCTGGACAGCATTCATTGCGAACTTACCACCAGGTTCAGCATTGGTCTGGTTGTACCAAAGATGCCGAAGAATGGGGTTGGAAGAAAACAGAAACAGGTATTACTCGAGTCACAACGTTGAAAGATCCAGCTCCAAAATCCCTATTGGCATTTTTATCATGTAAATGCAAAACAGCAACTATGGTAAAGCCTGTAGATGCAGAAAAGCAGGATTAAATGTTCAATGATTTGTGCATACTGCAATGGGAAATCCTGTGACAACATCACTGAAGTGTCACTCGACGAATCCGATGAAGAGGAGTTGGACTTGCCTGTAGATATCCCTCTGGCGGCTGAAGATGAAGAGTTGGACGTATTGAGAGGCCACCCTGATGAGTCCAGCACAGCAGACACGATCGACTTTGACATCAATGAGCCAGATCCGTCGGGCTTGTGCAGATAAGTTAAAGTTTTTAATTTATCTAGTGGGGTAGGTCTCCGGGGAGACGATGTTAAAAATTGTGTTTATATTTTGTCGCCTTGGTCTGGACCTGGCATTATATTTAATTCTATTGTATTTGGAATAACTTACTTGCGTTGCAAATCCAAAATAGTAGTTAAATGCATTACTTATTGTGAAGTCGTCTACTCCAGTGTATGCGGACATTATGGCGAATGTTCCTTTATAACGTTTCAGATAGCTAGTGACGTTACTGGTACTAACCATTTACTGGTACTAATTCATTGTAAAGCGTGTAAAAGTTCGTGCAAACTGAAAACCAACGTGTCTCCTAAAAAAATAAACGAAAATAGATTATACAGGGTGTCAAAAAATAGTGTATTTAACTTCGGTGGGTGATGCAGATAAAAATAAAACAAAAATATAAAAATAAAACAAAAAGTTCCTGTTAATATATGCCCTAAAATGGTTCCCGAAGAAGTTACACCCCTAGAAAGGGTAAATAAGACACCCCTAGAAAGGGTAAATAAGACAAGAAAAACGGTTTGCCAATGTACTTTAAAATGAACAAAATATATTTTTTCCATAGCAACTGTTACAATTGCCTTATATCTATTAAAAACTGTATTTCTTCTCGCACGTTTTTTAATTGCTTCCATTTTTTAAAAATTTTGTATTCCATTTCATAAGTTATTCGGGATTTAAATGGAAGTAGTTTAGATATGGCGTTTGTCGCCTCACCCTGAATATCTGTTGGTAATTTACTTATTTTGTTTTGAGCCATTTCTGGCTCCAATTCAACCAGCAATCGACACGAAAGAGAATTAAAAAATATTGACTCAAAACTGACAAATAAAGAGACAGCTTTATTTATTTGTCAAATTACATAGAAAACAACGTCAACCCAGCACAATATTTATTCTACTCGTAATAAATTCCTTAAAATAATAATTTCTGAATTTTTTTTAAAACGTAACTGGCTATGGAAAAAAATATTGTTTTATACACGACGATAAAATTGCATTATCGTCTTGTATAAAAAATAACTATATTTTTATTTAACATATCGAGGGCTGTGATTTTGAATAAATTACTTTTGCTTTTTTTTATTAATGATGAACTTTTTTTGTTTTATTTTTATGTGTAGAATCACCCAGCGAAGTTACACTATTTTTTAACACCCTGTTTAATAAGTACAAAGCCATATTTTTTCAAATGCAACAATAAGTTACCGAAAAAAATGTTACCAATGGCATAACAACTAAGACTAGATATTTATATAAACTTACTTTATCTTCGGAACTTTTAAGATAGTTATAAGGTATAGGCAACCAATACAAAGAAGACCAAATCTGAGAATGCCTAGCCGGGTACAGTCCAGCCAACACCAAAGCCAGTGACATTTTCGTTCTGTTGGTCTCGGTGGTTCTGGCCTCCAAATAGTTGATGTTCCAGGAGTCTGTGAGGAAGTCGTCGTACCTGTCTCTTAGAGCCGTACCTATCGAGTACTCCCGTACTTTGCCTTGGTTGGTCAGTTGGCCATAGCCTTCGGTGTAGTAGCTTTCGTTTTTGTAGGGGTTGTCGTCATAGATGCTGCCCTCGTCTGGGTTTCTATGACCATGTCTGAAGACCTATATTGAGAAAAAGTGACACTGAAAGTAATTATTGGATTGTGTTTTAGGTTGTTTGGTTTTAGGTTCCGATTTTTTATCTGTACAGGGTGAGTCTTAATTAAGTGCAGATATTTTAGGGGTAGTATATTTCGACCCCAGAAACACGATTATGAATTGAAAGGTTGGATTTTTTTTAGTTTTTAGTTAAAAACATAATTTCTTGATAATGACAACGTAGGTAGTAGATTAAATTTACAAGAAAGAAAATCCAAAAAAGATCCAGTGGTTTCAAAAATTTGAGCAAAAAAACATTTTTTTTTCACACGTCACAAAAGTATTAATTTTTTGCGACGTGATTAACAATATAAAAAAGTCATTTTGACGCCTAGGCATAAAAGTAAATCACTTTTATTTACAACCACATAATATTTAACACCGACATTACTGACTTTTAAAAAATTCGAAAGTGTCAAATTATCTACATTTCTTCCCTCTTCCATTTCTCTCACCCATTTTCCTCACTCGGGTTTTCTTATTTCTCGTCTCATTTAATTAAGCAAAATATTCTTGTAATATTTTATAATATATTGTATATAAATACTTATCTAACATCAACAAAAATAAACAAGAAGATTAACAATAATAATTGAAGATTTTAATACATTTATTTGTTGAAGGTAAAAATACTAGACTTCTTTGGCTTAAAACTTACATTCTGGCGTTTTAAAAAAGCGACGAGTTTTTTTACATCATCTGGGTTATGATAAATTTTCTTTTTAAAGTTCCAAAAAATAAATTATTAAGAAGAAAAATTTAAAAAATAAATAATAAAAAAAATAAATAATAAAACAAATTAAAAAAATTAATGAAAAATACAAATTTATAAAAAAATAATAAAAAATATTAAGAATAAATACGAATATTTTAGTACTTACTATGTGGAGGAGCTTTAGAGTGGAAGTGTCTGCTGCAGTTGTAGCTTGCACTCCACCATAGAGCAGAGCAAAGCTGCAGGACAGAAACAAAGACGCAAAAACTATACTGTTCATATCGTCCAGGTATTTCGACTTCACTGATTCTTTGACACCAAGTCGCGCCTTTTATATTTTGATTTTTCAATAAATCAATAAACCGATACATTTTTTTGAATTATTTTTTCGATTTTCCTTTAATTCCAGATATTATCTAGGATTAACAGGCTTAAAATTTCGATAGATTTTGGCAAAGGAACGTATAATTTATTTTATATGATGGACAAATAATGATTTCATTATTTATTGTGTGCTGTAAATTAATAATATAAAAAATCTTTGCATGCGCTTGCTATAATCCTTTTGACTTGGTTTTGAGTGTGTAGGAACTTAGTTTGAATAGAGTAAATCCTTTGGTCACAGCGACGGGTTAATATTGTATTGTATTCAATAATTTCATAGCAATTCGTTAGTATTGTCTTTGTAACATTTAGTTAAATGTGGTAATTTTGTTTGTCTTATTGTTAGTAATAGTATGTGTATTTAATTATATATAATATTTTGGTCGTAAACTGATTTAATGGAAAAATTGCATTTATTTCTCCAGCTTTTGAAAAATAGACAGGGTGTTCCTTAATAACATGCTAATATTTAAGAAGGTGATTCTTGGACCCATTCTAAGAAAAAAACTTCATATAAATATATATAATCTTAACTTTTTAGATACAGGGTGGTAAAAAAAATATCTCTGACAGTATATTTGATACACGTCTTCCATGCATCAAAATGCTTATTTTGATATACAAAAAAAATAGTTTTACTTCTTAATATCCTTCTAGCCGATGCAGAAATGATTTCCACACAATAGTCACCGCATCATATTACTAGCGATATGACCCTGATATAAATTGACTTTAATTTTTTTAAGCAAAAACTATGCGTTGGACGAAAAAATCAAGAGATAATTTTTTTTATAAATGAATGAAGATTTTGAAAATAATTTTTACTTTAAGAGAAGTCACCCAAGTAGCATCTATCTGACTTCGAACTAAATCTGACCTGAAGCGACGTCAGACTTTGTGCAAATTTAGGTCGGGTGCTGGTGATACGACCGGTGACGTCGCTTTCCTACTAAAAGCGACGTCGTTGGATCCGAGTCGGTAAATCCAACGATCTGTCGACGTACAAAATAACAACGTACCATTTTTATTAATTTCCCAACGTCGTTCCCACGTTGGCTTCCACGACGTACATATACTTGAACTAGCCCGACGTCTACCCGTTGTCCGAATAGGATACGTCTCACTGATAATCCCTTAAGTAACGTCCAATTATATTTTGTTGTATTTTATGTTCATATTTATAATCTAATTTACGTATCTCTATTTACATCCGTAAATACAACCTATTAAGTAGCATTTGCGGCCTAATGAACATCATGAACATAACCTAATCAAAAGTTTTTGTAAACAAACTTATTTTTTTTATTATGCCTAAAAAACACTAAAAAGGCATTTAGACATTCATCTACATTTTACAGAAAGAGGTAGAGGCTTTTGCAAAATAATAATAGTAGTAGTGATCTCTTGCCTCCACCCACCAATGCAGAGGAGACTGCACATCAGCCAGAACAGATATACAATACTTATGTTTGTGGTATTAAGAAAGTAGTCTCCTCGTTCAAGTAGTGGTAAAAACTTAATGGGTAATAATCCAGAAGAGATGCTGCATTACACTGGTGCATCTTAATTTCTTTTTTTAGCTTAGGAAACCAGCAGACCCCATCCTCCTCCCACATGTGAGGTACTGGTTCCAATTCTTTTAAATTTTGTATATATACTATCTTAAAAAAAGTGGCTGCCCATTTTTTTAAGGAGAAATTAACAAAAACTAAAATATAACTGCTCAAATCCACAAATCATTGAACCGTCAACCGTCAAACATTTTTTGACAACAAACAATTGACTTATTATAGACCAATAACAGACAACGTCGGGAATCGTTTATCAGGAATACGAAAAATTATATGCTCTGTGGCCGACGACGGATGCTCCAACGTATGCCGGCCGATCACAAATTTTACGTGGCGTACGTTGGAATTATATACGTCATAATACGATTGCCGGTCGTCCGGTTTGATGACTTCGGTCGTGTGAGACGACTAATGTTGGAGACCCGGTCGGAATCGGTATATTGATAGTTCACATTAAGTCGGATACAGAAATCCGCCATTCTTAACAAGTATCTGATTGTCAGCCATTTTAAAATCGTTATTTGTTTTTAAAATTTACATTCTCATTCCGATTTCTAGTAGAATAATATTGATAAGATTGAATTTGGGGGGAACCACAGTACAGTTTTATGATTAAACCAGCTAGAAAATAAAAAAAATATTTTGCGAGTTACTTTTTTATAGATATTTTTTTTTTCATTATTTCATAAATCTACCTAATTTTGAAGGCGCTCGTTGTTTTCCGTGAGTATTTTAATCAGATATATCAAAAAAGTGACTTCCGTTGACAAAACTGATGTCTGGATTAATGATTCAGAAGAATTATTATAATAAAAAATTAGGTAGGCACTTATAGTTATATTCGAGGAGTGATTATGAATCCATTTTTTTAGATACAAGTTTCTTGGGAAAATGTTTATGTATTCTTGGTAAACCAAACGTAACGTAAGTGCTTAGCGACGAATTTTAAGTGACTGAAGTCCAACGTAATATGACGTTGGTAATTGGTAGAATTACATTCCCTATTAGGTCAGATACCGACGTCGAGGTGACCCGAATCTGTATTCCCCATTTAGGTGCAAATAAGTGTCGTCAGGCGGTCGAACCGACGTTGATACCCGACGTCGGGTTTATTGAACGCGACGTATACCCGACGTTAGATAACGTCCAAATGCTACTTGGGCAGTGGTGTACCACTTTTTTCTCCAAAAATATTCAATGTAAAACCCGTATGGACGGCACTGGTTGAAATAAATAAAATTCTTTGTACGCCAAAATAGGTATTTTAATGCATAGAAGACGTACATCAAGTTTCATAAAGATATCTGTAATAAAATCAGAGTTATTATGAAAAAAAAAATTTTAGAAAAATTTACCATCCTGTATCTCAGAAATTAAGATGTTTAGGACATACATTCATATGAAGTTTTTCTCTTAGAAGAGGTCCAAGAACCACGCCCTTAAATATTACCATGTCATTAAGGAACTCCTTGTATATTAGTTTAATACACACAATGATAACACTACACAATATACAGGGTGGCCCATCGAGAACGTTCCGCAAGGCATAACGGCCAGGGTAATTTTTTTTTCAGAAAATCCAAACACACGTCAATTTTGTTTGTGAGGGGGACAACTTTTACCCCAAAAATGATTGCAAAATTTTCAACCCTCTAAGCGGGGGTGTCATCCCCCAACTTTTTTCAAATGGGAAGGGGGGGTCAAGTGGCACCGCAATGAAAAGAGTTTTCTATTCTCTATATTTCCCCACTTCGTTTTTGAAAATCGGTCGAGTCATTGAGAAAATATGAAGGATTGAAATTTGAAAAGTTCATTTAAACATTTATCAGAGTAAATGATAAGGATAAATTCCTTCGACCAATTTGCTGTTTTTTCTGATGTTTACGCATATTTTCACTTGCCACAAGGTTGAACCACAAGGATAGATATGTTGAACGGTCAGGTGCGGTAGTTGCTAGATAGCTGTTCTGTGACTTGTGCGTTGAAGTTCTTCTCAATATCGTTAAACTTTTTAACAGTTATGATGTACTCACTTGCAGAAAAAGTGGAAATAATCGAACTTTATTTTAAAAATAATGAATGTGGCAATCGGGTTGCGCAGATATTCAATGAACGCCATCCTGACAAACACCTTTATGGCAAAATTGTGCGCGAGTTAGTAGAAAAATTTCGTGAAACTGGTTCCGTTATGAATAAAAAAAGGCAGAGGGAAAATCCTGTAGTAAATGAAGCTGTGGAAGTATTCGTATTGGCCAAGTTGCCATGGATAGTACGCTGAGTACAAGAAAATTAGCCAATGAGACCGGCGTGAATCGTACAAGTGTCCAAAGGATATTAAAAAAACACACAAGTTCCACCCGTACAAAATTTAGTTGGTACAAGAACTCAACGAAGACGATTTTGATCGTCGCGGGCTGGTATTTTTGTAAATTCTGTTGTGGGTCAGTTTAACGATATTGAGACCGCACCTGATCGTTCAACCTTGTGGCAAGTGAAAAAATACGTAAACATTTAGAAATAATAAGAAAAAACAGCAAATAGGTCGAAGGAATTGATCCTTATCATTTATTCTGATAGATGTTTAAATAAACTTTTCAAATTTCAATCCTTCATATTTTCTCAATGACTTGACCGATTTTCAAAAACGAGGCGGGGAAATATAGAGAATAGAAAGCTCTTTTCATTGCGGCGCCATTTGAGCCCCCTTCCCATTTGTTGGGGGATGACACCCCCGCTCAGAGGGTTGAAGATTTTGCAATCATTTTTGGGGCAAAAGTTGTCCCCCTCATCACAAACAAAATTGACGTGTTTTTGGACTTTTTGAAAAAAGAAATACCCTGGCCGTTATGCCTTGCGGAACGTTTTCGATGGGCCACCCTGTATACAACTTACAATTCAATACATACATACGAGGCGTTTCGGAAAAAATAAGAAGGATGGGAAAACCATATAAAATAACAGACGAACTTCCTTCAACACACAAAATACACTTAGATCCATTTTGTCACACACTAAACCAATGAACACTGGACAACAAACAAAAAATGTAATATACGAAATATCGTGTGAATGTGATGAATTGTATAGTGGTGAAACATCTAGACCAGTGATTCTCAAACTGGGTTCCGCGGAACCCCAGGGTTCCGCAAAGGGGCGATTGGGGTTCCGCAAGAAGCCAATAATTTTTTTTTTAAATTGTGGTATCACCCAACAATGAAATGGTGTAAATAAAAAAAATATTCTTAGTACTCCCCTTCTGATCTGCATCCGAGCCCGAGCTCGCGCGCTTGTTGCGACTCGTAATTTTACTTCGCTTTGCAGTCATTGTAATGCCGTGTATGTATTTTGCTATTTTGTGCCTTCTAGTAATCGCCGGCCGCTGTCCTAGGTGCTTTTGTTTTTATGCGGTAGCCTTCCTTACGCAGTCTTCGCATTGAAAGTGTTTGTTTTAAACCCGTTGAAAGACGATTTGTTTGTTTTTCTTGCCTTTACTCTTATGTAATTATTATTTAAAATGGATAAATGGCTGAAAACTGGTTGTTTTAAAAGAAAACAAGAGGTAGAGGAAGATCCAACCATCAGTCAAGATGAAACTGTTGAAGGGATTTGGAGTAATGCTAGCAGCGATGAGCCGTCAACTTCAAGTTTTGTTCCCGTTGCGAATAAGAAAATTAAAATTAGAAAATATTGCCCAGAATATTTATCCTATGGTTTTGCTTCCACTGGGGATCCTAGTGCGCCAAACAGCCAGTGTGTAATTTGTTTTAAGACTTTCAGCAACAGTTCATTAGCTCCAGCGAAACTTCTAAGACACTTACAAACAAATCATAGTGAATACAAGGACAAACCTGTGGATTTTTTTCAACGCAAGTTAGTGGAAATGAATAAAAGTAAAAAGAATTTATCGTCTTTAGTGGGTAGCAGCATTAATGAAAAAGCATGTAAAGCCTCATTTCAAGTAAGTTACCGCATAGCTAAGGCTGGAAAAGCGCATATAATTGCCGAAACACTTATTAAACCTTGTTTAATAGATGTTGTCGAAACCATGATTGGTGAAAAGTTTAGTAATAGTGTAAAAATGCTGCCACTTTCAAACGATACTGTTCATAGGAGAATTTATGAAATTAGTAACGAAATAGAAAATACAGTTATTCAACGGATAAAAGGTAGTGGTTGGTATGCACTACAGCTTGATGAAACAACAGACGTGGCAGGGTGTGCAGTATTGCTTGTTATTGTGAGGTACATACACAACAACTCTGCAGAAGAAGAAATGTTACTTTGCAAACCTTTGAAGACCCATACAACCGGCGAGGAAATTTTTAAGATGATCGATTCTTATATCACTGAAAAAGAACTTAATTGGAATCAGTGCATTAATATCTGCACTGACGGTGCAAAAGCAATGACTGGTAAATATTCTGGATTTGTTGCACGTGTTAAAAATGTCGTTCCAGAAATTGAAAGTAGCCATTGTATTATTCATAGACAAGCATTGGCAGTAAAAAAAATTCCTCCCGTTCTTAAAAACGTTTTGGATGAAGCAGTAAAAATTGTAAATTTTATAAAGTCCAGGCCTCTAAATTCACGAATTTTTGCTGTTCTTTGTGAAGAAATGGGTAGCCAATTCACCACGCTTTTGCTTCACACCGAAGTGCGATGGTTATCGCGAGGAAAAGTATTGGTTCGCCTGTTTACTCTGCGAAATGAGGTGATGGTGTTTCTTAATGACTCTTCATTTGAATTATCATCAAGAATAACTGACATCAAGTGGTTACAATGTTTGGCATATCTTGCCGATGTCTTTTCAAGCCTTAATGAATTAAATTTATCACTCCAGGGAACTTCTGTAACAGTAATCTCCTTATATGACAAAATCCAGGCCAAGTTAAATAAAATACAGTTTTGGGAATCGTGTATAAACAGAGGAATCTCGGAGTGCTTTCCTACACTGCATGATTTTGTGTGTGAGTCGAAGACTGCATTGTCAGCAGAAATCACTTCGGAGATAATAAACCATCTTCAGAACCTACAAGTTTCAATCAGAGAATATTTTCCAAGACGAGAAGAGGATCTTGATTGGGTTCGCAATCCATTCTCAGTCCCAGTCGAAAAGTTTCATCAAACCCTAACTGTAAAACAAATTGAACAACTTATTGATGTTGCTGCCGATGGAAACCTTAAAACTACTTTCAACTCGGCTACATTGTTGCAGTTTTGGGCCCAGCTTAGAAGTGAATATCCAGAATTAGCCAATTTTGCTGTTAAAAAATTGTTGCCGTTTGCTACAACTTACCGTTGTGAAGTAGGGTTTTCGAAGTATGCTCTTACAAAAACCGACTTAAGAAGTAAACTTAATCCTGAAGCAGATATGCGGATACAACTTTCAAACATTGAACCCGATATCGACAAACTTGTATCAAACAAACAGGCCCATCCTTCGCATTAAGCTCATAAAAAAATATTTGTAATGAATATTTAAGTGTTTTACTGTTTCTGAGTTATTAATATATTATGTACTTAATTCTTACATTTTTTTATTTACTCTTAATTTAGAAGCTCAATAAGTAGTATTAATATCGATATATTGACACAAAACCAAACATGCACTATGTCTTATATTTAAGAATATAGGGTAGGGGTTCCCTAGAAAAAAAAAGTGCACTCTAGGGTTCCTCACTCTACAAAAGATTGAGAAACACTGATCTAGACCCTTAAATGTTCGAATTAAAGAACATAAAGATTATTTAAGGAAGGACGATTTTTACAAATCTAATATTTGTGAGCATTCATGGGACACAGGGCACAGAGTAGATTTTAACAACGCAAAAATTATTATGAAGAAAGCGATAGTCTCTAAACGAAAAATAAAAGAGTCTTTTGTAGTAAAGTCTAATATAAATAAATGTATTGCTTAGGCATCTGTATAGAGGTTAGTAATGTAGGGCTATATCGTTTCTTTGATTTTAATGAACTTAACATAAATAAACATAACATAAGTAAAAATTAAAAACAAATAAAAAATAATCATATACCGAAAGTTTCAGGCTATAAAATGTATATATGGCACAAAATTTATTTTAAACATATACGTAGCCATTGAACGATATTTAAACACTCAAAATTATGTATACTCTGTTTTTTTTTCTCAGGTAAGATTTCGACAGACGATGACAGAAGAAAAGCAGATGACGTCCCATACCAATCTATTTATTTTACTAAAAAAAGTTTCTAATAATTTTTAAGTTATCTATGGATGATTAAATATAAATCCGTCATACGTCGTGTCTTCTTGTTTTTAACCAGTTTTATTGGTTTATTTAAAAAATGACAGATCGTATTTCAATTTTATTGGTTTGACGGAACGATGAAAGACAAACGGACGCCGATGCGTATGAACTCGCCTTTAGATTTTTGTCATTTTTGACGCTTGTCAAAGTCTTGCCAAATTATAGGTTATAGTTTTGTGTCAACTTTTGTTAAATACCCTGTGTTTTGGAAGATGATGCATTTTGATTCGTATTATTACGTGTGTTTTGTGTCTTTTGAAGTCAAGTGGAGGAAAAATCCAGTGAAAATTAACTGTAAACCCAGAGCACAGTTTATGGTTAATACACGCTGCCCAGGCAGAAAGTCTTATACACCAATGAAGTTGCCATCGATAAAGTTTGTATACCATTTCGTCGTAGATAAGTGCATCTCGTATATAAGGATCAAACTAAACACATACTAAAAACCGGAGTAGCTGTAAAATATCGACATCACACGATAGGTAAATAATGGATTTTAGTACTGCAGAAAAATAATGTCAAAAGGTACTGGCTTAAAAAAATTAAGATTAAAGTTAATTAATCAACCTTTAAGGTATACAATTTGGTAGGTGTAATTATTAATAAAATAGTTTGTTGTATTTACCCATGTTGTTTTATTTATACCTGTGGAATATTACAAATTTGTATTTGTACATAAGTTATATTGATAAATATAATCATAAATGCGGGTAGTTTCATAAAGCTTGAAGGTAAATAATAGTTCTTTTTTATATTTTTTTGGTATGTAGTGTCTTGTTCTTGTTTGTTTTGTATTAACACACACACACACACCGTTTTTATTAAATAAAATAACTCGATTACATTTTTTCAGTTTTATACAGTTTTTTTCACAGTATTTTGAAGTAATCACTTGTCATCTTGTCAATCAAATTGTAAATATATCGCTATGCGTTCCAGACAGTACCAACTTATTTCTTTGTAAAATAAAATAAACTACTTTGAAATTAAAATGACAGACACATCTATCACTGTCAAGCATCTTCTCGTTGGACAGAGTATATAGAAGATTCAGGACATATCTATTTTTGTGGAATATTTGTATAAAAAAACACAAAGAAAATTTGTGAAAATATTTATATTTTCAAAAAGAATACATTTCAAAATGCGATATCTCTGCCAAGCATTCTGATAGTATAAGCCTCATCCACAGCATTGCAGTCTGCATCGGATTCCGGCAGCATATATTCCACTTGTTGGTAGAACTCGTCATAAGGACAGAAATAGTCGCAATTGGGTAGTTTTATAGCAATCGGATCGTCTTGTTCATAGTCTTGATAAAACAACTGAAAAAAATGGTAAAATTTAAAGCTTACTTAAATATTTTTGAATGTTTTTTTTGTTACCTTGAAACCATAAACTCCTTCGATTTGATGTACTTCCATGAGAACATACGATCCGTATGGAGGAATGTCGGTTATTTGAAAAGCTTCTAAAGATATTAGTAGGGTAGCTATGTTGTTTTCGTGGGCTGAGTACAAATACATTTTTCTGTCTGGTGGATTTAATGTTCCGTTGATTTTACTTTCTGTTTCTGCGAAAACCAATTTCAGAAAATATCCTGAAATTAAACAAATTAGTGATGTAATTAGGCTATAAATTTAACAAGATTTCTTTTGCACTTGATTTTCACTAAAAAATATGTTTATGATACTTAATAATTGTTTCTTGTGACTACATATTATTAAATAAAAATAAAAGAATAATATCAAATTAATATTTTACCAGCAACGATACGCCTTAATGCTGTATTATTGGCTTCAAGATAATAATAGTCAACAGCAGCTGAATGAAGCGGTTCGGGATAAATCTCTTGGGTCCAATCTTCTAGAGGAAAGTTGAGTTGTTCCTAAAACAAAAATATATTTTCTTCTTTGTGATTTCATTACAAAATACCATATTTACTTGAACTAAAAGTCCAAGATATAGAGCAAATGCTTGGAATGGTGTTATCGTGATACCAGTGTTTTCTTGTAGAACTTGGTAAGTCCTGTTGTACCGTTCTTGCAGATATTTGGCTATTTCTTCTTCTTCTTGAACTTTATCGATTTCTTCATCCAGTTTAGAGCAAGCATTGTAAGTAGAAAGTTCCTGAAATGAAGAATATATGAACATGAAAACCTCATTGCCATTGCTGTCTCTAAATAGTGGTCATTGCTGACATTGTCTTAATGGATGATACTGTCAGCTCTGTAGTGATTAAAAATCTAAGGGCTTCATAGCTAGAACAATTATCAATATTGAAAAAAAAATGCACTTGAACATAAGCAAAAGTGCTGCTGCGCATGATCAATAGAACAAGACCATATTTTTATTGAAATTACTTGTAAATTTCAAGGTTCTACCTTACGGTATATATCTCACCTTATCATTTTTAGTAACCACGTAATTGTAAGGTATAGGTTGCCAGGCAAACGATGGCAACCACGCGTTTTCAGCTGTTGGAGGCCACAAACCCGCCATTACCAGCAAGGCAGACATTTTGGTTCTATTGTAATCTGTGGTTCTCACGTCCATTATGTTTATATCCCACTCTGATCCAAGAAATTCGTCGTACCTTGCTCTGAGTAGAGTTCCTAGTTTATATTCAGTTCTTTTGCCTTCCTGAAATCGAAATACTTCTAGAAAATATTGGATAAGCATGCTTTGATCTTACATTAGTCAATTGGCCATAACCTCCTTTGTAGAAGCTTTCGTTATAGTAAGGATTGCTCTCCCATAAGCTTATTGTATCTGGATTTCTATCACCATGTCTAAATAACTAAAATGATTCATTAAAATCTTTATGTTATGTAATTACTCGTCATAAATGGCTCTTTTACTTACAACATGAACTAATTCCAAGGTACTATTTTCACTCCTAACACATACAACAACACAGCATAATAGTGAACCAATTAGACAGAAGAATTTCTCCATTTTTCTTTAAAACTTAACCAAATGAGTCTACCGGAAACTCTAATAGACTTAGATTTTCATATAATATTAATTAATTCCAATATCTTATCTCTTATCGTCTAGATTTAAGAAATCAGGCTATATATTTTTCGATTCAACATTAATTAAATCCTCATAGTACCTTATCCAAAGATTTATATTCTATTAATAAATGATAATTTTTATTTAATTCTATATGCGTAACACTTGAAAATTGAACAACTTTGACTACAAATTAAAACTATTTTATCTATAATTAATAATTGGAATTGTATATTTTCTTACGATGGTAGTAATCAGTTCATTGAAGATTTACACATAATTGTGTATAAAATTATCATACAATCAAAAACTGCCTTCATCAAAAAGTGGGCTTTGGTTAATTAAAATTATAATGTAATTTTTCATAGCCCAAGTTGACAAGGTCATCTAAGTGTTCTTGGACCAACAAGACCACAAATGACTCTATGTTTTCCCTGCTTAATAAAGTTTACTCCAGCCTAAATAACCATCATTCTACAGCAACAATTTTCTGTGATTTTTCTAAGGCGTTCGACTGTGTAAATCATAAGATCCTAATTAATAAACTGCAGCACTATGGGTTCAGGGGAACTCTCTCGAATGGTTTAAGTCGTATCTGAGCAACAGAAATCAACTTGAGGGTGGGTACCACGTTGTCTAGAATGTGGAGTACCTCAAGGCTCAGAACTAGGCCCTATTTTGTTCTTCTTTTTATTAACGACATTGCTAACATAAACATCAGTGGTAAAATATGTCTTTTTGTGGACGACAGTAGTTTCAGTTGGAGCAACAAGGACGTCACGGCACTTCATAGGATTATATCAAATGACTTAATCACCATTAAATCTTGGTGCGATTCGAACCTCCTGAGACTCAACATTTCTAAAACTAAAGCTTTGTCGTATAAAAGCTGCAGCCCTTTGTACTTATAACGACACCACCATTAACGTCGTAAAATCTGTAAAATTCTTAGGACCTCTCTGAAATTCTTATGAATTCGCTGAAATGGGACATGCATATCGACGCTTTGTCGAAAAAATTAAGCTCTGCCTGTTTTGCATTAAGATCTGTTTCTAAGGAGCTTAAATTGTCAGTGGCTAGAACTGTTTATTATGCACTTTTTGAGTCGCACCTCAGATATGCCCTTCCATTCTGGGGTGCGTGTTGTGCGACTCAATTTGACCGCATTTTCGAGCTCCAGAAGAGAGCTGTTCGATATTGACTGGGACTAAAAAGGAGAACTCATTGCCAGGACTTTCTTAAAAAATTAAAAATATTAACTCTTCCTTTCTTATTTATATTGGAATCAGTTTGCCTAATACGTAAGCATGTAGCAGCTTCTCAAGAAACGCCATCTCACACTTATCCACTCAGCAACGCGGAGCAAGATCTTTGTCTACCTACCCCACGCTCAGAGTTAGTTAAAAGTTCAATATTATACAACCCGAAAAAAATGCAAAATCACCAATCCAAGGATTGAAACCTTAATTACTAGACAAGGCTTTCTACGCCGTAAATGACTTGGCCTAATATTTGCTATTACTATATTTACTACAAACTCACTAAATATTTTTGAATCTTATTTTTATTTTTTTATTCTTTGACATAGAAAACATTTATAAATGTTTATTTTAAACAATAAGACTGACAATGTAATTTGTATACTTGTTTTGTATTCTCTTTTGTTTGTTTACTTTACCTTTGTCTACAAAGTGTAAATTTTTTTGACAATAAAGGCATTTATTTATTTATTTATTTACATGGATCCATGGATGCTGTGCGCATCTTACTTGTAGGCTGCTTCTATATCTATATAACTATCTATACTTACTTAATTGTTACGAAACCTTTCCACTTCGCTTGGATAAAACACTTAATAAGATACAAGCAGCGTACAAGGTACAAGTCAGACGCGCGGCATTATTATAAGTACAGTTATATGTACAGGGTTGTTCACCACATACGACACGGAATATTGTAGCTAAACGATTAGATTTTTACAAATTGTAAGTTTTGGGTTCGTTGAAGGACTATTAGAGCTACAATTTAAAAATATTTTTACAAGATACAGAGTGTCCCAAATTAAAAAAAAATATCAAAGTTATATTTTTTTAAATGGAACACCCTGTACATTATTGCATTTTTAGTTTCTACGATTAAAATAAAGGTAAATTTGATTAAGGTTTATTACACTTAAACCTTACCGTTTTTGAAATATTTTCAATTTTGTGAAATTGCAGTATAAATTTTAAGGCTTCATTTCTCCGAGGGTGTCAAAGTTTTTAATACTAAATATTTACTGAAGTTTATTTATTGATCAGTTATTGTGTTGCAATAATAAAAATTTTACTACCTTATACAGAGTGTCTAAATATTTATTTTAAATAATTGTTAGATTTAAACGGCAATAACTTGTTTAATTTAAATGGAACACCCTGTATATTTTATGAGCATCAGATGCACAATTTAATTGTCTATCAAATTGTATTATACCATTTTTTACCTGTCTCTTCAAGCTTCCGTAGAAAATGCATTTTCTTGTAATTTGGAACTCATTTATCAATATACCCATGGAATACTGACATTTTAGATTATTTTTAAAGATGTACCAAGTACAGATACTAATATTGTTAATATAGTTCGTTTATTTCATTAAAAAATAAAAAAAGACTGTTTAAATATTTGTTAAAGAGGATCAATTAATATGATTCCAGTATTCAAACTACATTAATTGACTGTTTGCGTTAATTAATAATAATTGCTCCAAATACTAAAAAACTGAATTATTTATGTGTATTAGACAGTGAGCTAAAAAAACCAACACCTTAAAAATGATATTTCATTTTTTGACCAATGCTTATTTATAACAACAGAGACGTTCATTTTCATAACTTATTATTATATTTATTTCTGATTCAAATCCTCATTTATTTAGAATAATTTATTAACGAACACAATTAAGTATGTAATTAATTAGTATTTGGGCGGAAATACTGGTGGTATATTTAATTAATGGTATACTCTTTTATAAAGATTTAAATAGTTTTCTTTTTGCATACAAATGGACTAGTAATATCATCGTTTTACTAAATACGATAATATTACTAGCCGGTACCTTTTGTACATTTGTTGTTTTAAAAACAATCTAAAATGTCAATATTCCATGTGTATATTGATAAATGAGGTCTAAATTATAAGAAAATGCATTTTCTACGAAAACTTGAAGGGATAGGTAAAAAGCGGTATAATATAATTTGATAGACAATTAAATTGTGCTTCTGATTCTCATAAAATATACAGGGTATTCCATTTAAATTAAACAAGTTATTGCCGTTTAAAGCTAGTAATTATTTAAAATAAATTTTTAGACACTCTGTATAAGGTAGTATAATTTTTATTATTGCAACACAATAACTGATCAATAAATAAACTTCAGTAAATATTTAGTATTAAAAACTTTGATACCCTCGGAGAAATGAAGCCTTAAAATTTATACTAAAATATTTCAAAAACGGTAAGGTTTAAGTGTAATAAACCTTAATCATATTTACCTTTATTTTAATCGTAGAAAAAATCGTAAAAATGCAATAATATACAGGGTGTTCCATTTAAAAAAATACAACTTTGATATTTTTTATTTATTTGGGACACTCGATATCTTGTAAAAATATTTTTAAATTGTAGCTCTAAAAGATCGCGCACACTATACCTGCACGGACCGGCACGGACCAGACCAGTCAATTCTACCGGTGAAGGTGACCGTGTTATTTAATAGAGTAGAGCACACTAGACCAGTACCAGCACGTACCGCCACAAGCCACGACCGTCAAAACAGGTCGTGTCGGTCAGGGACAAATATGACCGGCAATATTTATGCCTGGTCGTGCTGGTCCGACCTAATGTGCGCACCGGCGAACCAGCACACCTCCACAAACATGCAAATATTGAAGGGTTTGTCAGTATTTCGAGTACGCTAGCTGGCTCAAGTTGCATGATGTAGGTTAGATTTCGTTTATTTTTGTTCGAACCTTTAAATCGTTTTAAATATGAATGAAAAAAAGCTTATTTTACTGGTACAAAAGTATTCAGAGCTGTGCGATACGAGCCAAGCATTTTATATATAGAGACCAAGAAAGAAAAGATGCAATATGGGAGTCGATAGCAAAAAAAAATAATTAAATTTGATTTGTGACATTCGAAAATATTGGAAAAACTTTTCTTCGAATCTTTTTAATTCAGGAAACAAATAATGAAATTCGCCATATTGCTTTCTCTTTTGATTTATAGGGTGAACCCAAAATCTTCTTTTTTTCTTAGCTTCCTTCTCTTCCTCCTCTTCTTCACACAACATGGCTAAAATAATAATTTCTTCTCTGAACTACTCATTTTCAATACTTCTATGTTGCACGCTCTAGTAGTTGAGCCTTGACAACTGTACTTTTTTCGAAACTCTCGCTTATGTTGCTGGTCTGTGGCGGTAAAGTGTGCGATGTCATGCAGGATGCAGGTTTGTGCTGTGCTGGTCCGTACTGGTCCGTGTAGGTATAGTGTGCGCGATCTTTAAAAATCCTGCAACGAACCCAAAACTTACAATTTGTAAAAATCTAATCGTTTAGCTATTATACTCCGTGTCGTATGTGGTGAACAACCCTGTATAAAAGCATCCAACGGTGTCACAATAACACTACACATTTACGAATTAAGACATAAGTGCCTTAATCATCCTGAATCAACTATCCAAGGGAGATATACTGATTCAACAAGACATATGTACCAAATACTCAAATATATGTATATTGAAAGCAATGTAAAAATCTACTTAAAATCTACATACATACTTCACACATGTTTTCTGGATTATGAAACCAGGATTTAGCTACTTACATATACATTACGATTGGAAAGATAAGAATCGAGATGCATATAGTTGCAAAATAAAAATTAATTAAACAAAAATAATACATTGTTAATAAAATTTTTGGCAAATTTGTTTCTGAGTAAAAATCCACTGACAATGTAATTTTTGTTTGGATGCTAACGTAGTGGCATTTTCCGAAAAATAACTTTTTCAATTTTAGTTTTCTTTTTCCGTGACGAATCCGTATTAAGAATAAACCTTGTAACTACAATTGAGTACAAGTGTGTCACTAAAAACACTAATATATTTCAAAATGAAATGAGAAACGTTTTAGGAATCACATATAATGAAATATAATTTCATATTTAGTGGAAAGCCAGTAGTTATATTATATCATCATGATCATCATCATTTTCAGCTGATCATCAACCATTTCCAGTTATGGTGTAGCCTTCCTCACATATTTAGATACTCTCTTTAGAGTTGGATCCATTGTTATCTACTTTTGACTATGCGGGCCCAAGTTATCCCTGCTAATTTCCTAATATCATGGTCCCATCTCAGGTTCGGTCTTCTTCTAGACCTCTTAATTCCTCGTGGGTACCATGCTGTAATTTTCGTTGTCCATCTGCTGTCTGTTCTTCTTGCCAGAAGTCCTACCCATTGCCACTTTGATTCTGTTGATGATATGTATGACCTGGGTCTTTTGTCGTATCTACTCTATTCTTTTACGGTCTTTCTTGGTTATTCCCAGTATATTTCGTTCCATTGAGCGTTGTGCGACCTGCAGTTTCCTTATATTGTCCGTTTTAGGTGTCCTGGTTTTGCATGCAGAAGTCATAACTGGCAGTACACATTGGTCGAATGTTTTCTTCTTTATATAAACAGGGCAGTACTATTTATCTCCGGTCGTGCAAATCTTAATTTTCAAGTATGTATTTAGATAATCACAGACTACAAAACAACAGAGCAATTCTAAGTAATCAACAACAATTTTTAACTAAATAGTTTATTTATGGATCACGTGTGAGAATAGATATCCGAAAAGTCAATAAAGATCTCGTGAAATTTTATAGATCACATTTTTAGACACGTTTGAGATACTTAGGTATTGTAAATATTGTCATAAATATTTTTTAGGACTGGCATTGCGCAATTTGAAGTCTGCTATCTGGTTTGGCAAATACGATTTTTATGGCTATCGGAAATCAGGCTCAATAAGTTTTATTAATAATCAAAATATGAACACTTTGAAATAATTGGAGTACAGACGCGAGTACAGATTAAACTTTAGAAATTTTAATAAACATTAATTTTATTAAAAATTAATCCAGCTAGAATGAACAATAATTTACAAGTGATAGCTTTTATTATAGCCGGAGAGCTGGCGACATATTTAGAGAACATATTTTAGGCAAGTTAGAATAACAAAAAAAAATAAAGTTTAATAACTTGTGAACCCAGAATCCTAAGTCTGGCTGGGGGGTTGGGGGTATATTGCTACTGCGCAACCCATAACATTTGCAAAAAAATAAATCCAAAAAACGTTCTTTAGGCAACTTAAAATTTGTTTATTCTTAAATTTTAGCATCTATTTAACCTAGAAATAAGTATGGCAGACTTTTTTTTTCGGGTTTCCGACCATTCCAAATATGTTCTCCACCTTGTGGAGTTCCTTGCGTTGTTTTAACAACTACAGTTTTGGTACCTATCTCAGCCTCTGCTGTTCGTGTTGAGAGCATTTCCCAAAACCAGCGAATTATCGTACTGTTCACCCCTCTTGTTTCAAGAGATCGCTTGACCACCTTGTGAGGTATATTGTCAAACGCCCCTGCAATGTCCAAGAAGGCACAAAGTGCTGTTTCTTTGCTATCCAGGCTTGCCTGTATTAGCTCAGTTAACTGGTACAGAGCAGTTTCTGTGGATCTGCCCGCTCTATATGCATGCTGACTATCGTGCAGTGGTTTAACCTGTAGATGATTTACTCTAATATGGTTGTCCACTACTTTCTCCATCGTTTTAAAATTTAAGAATAAACAAATTTCAAGTTGCCTAAAGAATGTTTTTTGGATTTATTTTTTTGCAAATGTTATGGGTTGCGCAGTAGCGAAATACCTCCAACCCCCCAGCCAGACTTTCTGGATTCTGGGTTCTCCAGTTAATAAACTATACATTTTTAGTTATTCTAGCTTGCCTAAAATATGTTCGCTAAATATGTCGTCAGCTCTTAGGCTATTAAGGGTTGTTAGGACGGCCCATTACTAAAAATTATATATTTTTCTTTTACAACTTTTCATTATTTAATTAAATTTTGATTGTGTGTACTTATATAAGTCCAACATATTATATGTTATTAAATACAGCAGGGTATTCTATTTAAATTAGATAAGAAAAAAAACAACATCTAGTTTTGAATCATTATGTATATAATATGATATATACAGTATTTTATATACATATGTAAGAGTCTCAATCATATTCATATCTAGAATGCCACTTTATCTAAAAAGAAAACGTTTGATCAATATGTATCAGTCATGACCTTTACATGCAAAACCTAGACACTTAAAACGAACATTATAAGGAAACTGCAGGTCGCACAATGCTCAATGGAACGAAATTATGCTGGGAATAACCAAAAAAGACCGCAAAAGAATAGAGTGGATACGACAAAAGATCCAGGTTATAGATGTCATCCACAGAATCAAATCCCTCAAGAGGCAGGACACCTGGTAAGAAGGACGGACAACAGATGGACCACAAAAACGTATTTTAGTTTAAGTAATGAGTTTTGAAAAGGGTATTTTTAGATAAACATTTTCAGTGAGAAATAGTTTGAATTTTCAATTTTAGAATTTTCAATTGGTCTTTGAAGTATCAAAAGATATCTATTTATATCCGGTATGAGCCAATGCATTGGTTCTACAACTTTTGTGTAAAATATATTTCAATGACCCTGTACGTATATCTACGAAAATATTTATATCATATTCTGGATAAATTTCATGCATAATATATGATTTGGATACATTATTGGCTTATTTACACAAAACATTTACTAAGGCTTATTAAATCAATTTATTGTCATATAATTTACAGACCAATTGGTAAGCTAAATACAGTAGTTGTTTCTGATTCAGAAGTAACACAATCTTCATCATCTGGTATCAAATAACTGACTTGTTCATAAAATTGATCGTACGGACAGAAATAGTCACAGTTTGGCAGTTTCAGCGGTATTGGGTTACGTTGCTTATAATTTTGATAAAACAACTAAAATGAAATAAAATAATAAATCATTTGGATATATAAAATTATGATGATTATCTTACTCTGATTCCATACACTCCACGAACTTTATGAAGCTCAATCAACACGTGTGAACCATACGGTGGAGTCTCTACTAGTTTATAAAGTTCTAGAGAAAGAAGGAATGTACCTACGTTTAAATCGTGTGCAGAATATAAAAATACTTTTCTGGTAGATGGAGTAATTGTACCATTAATTTTACTTTCTGTATCTGCCAGTATCTTTTTCAGAAGATATCCTGGAATTCATTAATATATTAAGTAGGTTTGAAGTTAGTTTTTTAAGTTTACATTCCTACCAGATACAGTTCTTCTTAAAGATGTGGTATTGGTATAAAGATAGTAACAATCAACAGCTGCCGAGTTCAATGGTTCTGGATATACACTGCTAGTCCATGCTTCCAGAGGGTAACCAATCTCTTGCTTTAAAAATAGATATTTACGATACAAGTGAGTTAGATCGTCATTAAGTTACTTGCATCATTAAGATACTTGTGTGGAAGTTGCACAACGAGTGCGTAGCACGAGTTGTGTAACCACACAAGTTTCTTAAAGGAGTTAACTCGCGTGTATTGTATAATATTTTATCTACGTCTAACTATAAAAACACACAATGAATTTTAAACATTATTGTACTTAACTATATACCTATCCTAAAAAGCAATTACCTTAATATCTTTGATCAAATAACGCCATGCATGGCAATGTCAATATGACAGTAAATAATATTGATGTCACACTAGTTTAGAAAATGAGCGATCAGGCATTTACTTGAAAGATTGTTCAAACTGTATCATTAACATTTATAATAAATAAGTTTTCATGTTTTTATAATTATTATCAGTAGAAGAGTTTATTTAGTAGGTATTTAGTGCAAAACAAATGTTTTTTACAAAATATTTTTTCTCTTTGGTAGTCATCTAAACAAGGAGTGCGGTAATGAGAATGGCGTGAGTTAAGAAGCTTTTAACTCACTCAAAATGCGTGAGTTAAGAGCTTCTTAACTCACTGACGTAGATAAAACATTTTAAAGCCATATTATGATACTTCATATTCGAAAAAAAATACTTACTTGGACAACCATTCCATTGTAGAGATAGGAAGCAGTAAAAATATTGATTGATGAGGTTCCAGTATTTTCTTCTAGAATCTCAAAAGCTTCTCCATACCGGTCTTGGATGTATGAAGAATACGGTTCTGAGCCGATGAGCGCATATAGATCGGTATAGAAATTTGAACAGGTGTAAAAAGGAAATAGTTCCTAAAAAGTCAGTAAATATCACTAGTAAAGCTAATAAAGTTCTTAACAAAGATATTGTATGAACTATTATACTCATTATCTAAAATATTTTTTAAAAACCTTATCATTTTCTACGGATTTGTAGTTGTATGGTATGGGTTGCCAGTTGAGGGGAGGTAACCACACGTCCCTTCTCCTAGGAGGATACAAAGCACCTACAACTAACAAGGCAGACATCTTGGTTCTGTTGGTGTCAGTGCTTCTTACGTTCAAATAGTTGATATTCCATTCTTGGCCCAAGAAGTCGTTATATCTTCTACGTAATAAATTTCCTAACTCATACTCTGTTCTTTTCCCTTCCTAAAAACATAATTCGATTGGAAAATACAAGTTAGGTTGAAACATTTGGATGATATTACAAGGTGAGCTCTACTGGACATTGCTGATAATCATGAACGCAACGTTTTTCAGATTCAAATCAAAAGATAATGGTTGGTTGTGGTTAAGCAAAGTAAGAGTGGTATGATTTGTTGTTCATAAATTAATTATGTATAGAATGTTCAGCCATCTTTCAACGTCACGTCATATATTTTATGTCGAATTCTCTCAATCACTTGCCAACCAGATAAAAGAGATTGGTGACGTCATTACGGCATTTCGTAAATTATTACTGCATATTCGTTTTAGTAATTGTCATTGTCATTTGATTTGGGGTTATAATTTTAATGACGGACATTGATCAATGTCAAAGTTAAAAATCTAATGTTGTTGTCATGCAAAATTCAGTTTTTTATTGCAAAAATGCCTCAAAGATTTAATCAAAATGAACAAAAGTTTATTGCTAAGCTTATAAATTATTTTTCTCGAGAAAGAGACGCTGGTAGAACACTCTTGCCCGTGGAAGCCGTACATGAAGTAAGTACAATGCAAAGATGTAATATCCCTAATTTAAAATACAAATTGATAGCGTTTATAAATAATATAGCGAGTTGCTGATGCTTTAGAAATAGGAATTTCAACAGTCCAAAAGATTGGAACTAAAAAGATCGTAACAGATAAAGAGTTAAAAAAAATGCCGAAAAAAACCGAACTCGCTCCATCAATAATACAGGAATCTATTTAAAATCTTCTAAACAATATGAACTGATCTCAGACACACCCTCAAACGCATATTTGAGAAATAACGATGACGTAACGTTGACCGATGGCTGAACTGTCACAGAAAATACTTACATTAGTAAGCTGTCCATAGCCTTCTCTGTAAAAACTCTCGTTATAAAAGGGATCGCTCTCATACAATGAGCTCTGGTCAGGATTTCTATTACCATGCCTAAACAACTAGAATAATTTTATAATAATTACAAGAAAAACTGGTAAAATTTTTAAAATATTACTTACCACATGCACTAACTCTAACGTACTCTCCCTAGATGCTGCAAAGATCGTGCAGAGACCTAGAAGTATAGTTACAACTAACAACCCAGACATCTTTCTTGCGATGTGATTCAAAGAGAAGTACTTTTTTAAATTTATACTATTTTGAATATCAAAATTTTTTATTATCTTATCAAAAAAAGTGATTTGTTTTTGGGCTAGACGCAAACAAGAAACACTTAAAATTTTCATCATACATATTAATAACATTAACTGTGGAACATGCATTATGTACTTATAGCATGATGCAATATTGCCCAAAACTTCTTATAGCAAAGCCCCTTTTATTAATAATATGTTTAACGTCGAAAATAGACCTCCTTTCGTGGCAAAATGGGGACATTCTATGTCCTAAACGTCTTAAAAAAGTTTTTTTGGTATGCTGCAAGCTAGTAGAGGTGGGCAAAGATTGAACGAGTCGTCCTTTTAAACGAGTATTAAAAATGAATCGTGAGATTCGATTCGCTACTTAATTGAATCGTGGCTACGGTTCGTTCAATTGAATCGTGGCTAGCGCGGATCCATAAAATTTAAACGAACGAGTTGTAAAAAAGAATCGGATCACAATGCGATCGTTCGTTTCTACGGCTCTTTCGTTCAAAGAGTAGTGCGAATTGATTCGTTGCTTACAATACGCTTCGTTCAATTGAATCGTGGTGAATCCAGAAAATTTGAACGATGAGTAGTAAAAAAGAATCGTAAAAATTTTGCGATCGTTCGTTTCTACGGTGCGGTGCGTGGCGGTGATACAGGCATAGAGAGAGTCGGGAACTACTATTTAGACTTGAACAAAAGCCCTAAACAAACATCATGGGCATAAAATGCAAACGATAACAAAGTTATTTACAAGAAAAACACTTATTTATGCTGTAATGCATTTAATATTTTAAAATAATATTTACCAACTATAAACCATTAAATGTCGGACTAACAGACGAAATTGTGTTTTTGTACAACTTCAAATAAATACTGTTAGCCTCTGCTCAATATGATAAAAAAACGGCGTCAGCGATGGTTATAAAATGAAGATCGCCGTCATTTTAATATGTAAAATTATATGGGGAATGTTATCGATGTTCATTTCCAAGCCAACTGAACGCCATTTTTTTTCGATTATGCGGTATTATATACTATTTATTGTGATTATTATTCCGGAATTAAAATATGGCTCCAAAAATATTAAATTGGTACTGAGAAGTCTTTAATAAATAGTATAATATGAATTGGATTGATAATTTAATATTATTGGTAAAATAATCAATCCAATTACGCCAGTGCTATAAAGTTGAAAAATAAATGAGAGAACTGTATTTTTTTTCTGGCCCCTTAAGTAATTCTTCTTCTTCTTCTTTCTCAGCCTGGTTATATCCAGTGTTGGCTTCTTCTAGGTTTTTTCATGCTTCGCGATCTCTAGCCAATCTTATCCATTGTCTTCCTGCCACTGCCCTGACGTCATCGACCCATCTCTTTTTTGGTCGGCCCACACTTCTTCTTGTTCCCCTAGGTCTCCATAGGATTACTTTTTGGGGCCATCGGTCTGGATCCTGTCTTGCCACATGTCCTATCCATTGCCACTTCAGACTTACCACTCTTTTAACGACATCTATTAATCTTGTTTTTTGACGTATGTGGGTATTCCGTATTTTTTCCCTAATGGTGACTCCCAACATGATTTTCTCTTTGTGCTACTCGTAGTTGTTCTGCTGTTTTTCGGGTAATAGCCATAGTCTCTAAGCCATACGTAAGCACAGGTAGAATGCAGCTGTCGTAAGCCTTTTTCTTTAGGTTCCTGGGCACCTTTTTATCCTTGAAAATATCGCTATTATTTCCAAATGCTACCCATGCCAAATGGATCCTGCGTTTGATCTCCGTATTTTGGTTTTCCTTGCCCAGCTTGATTTTATGACCTAAATATATATAATGGTCTACGTTTTCAATAATAACGTTGTCAATGTTATGGATATTGTTGCTTATTATCTTGGTCTTCTTCAAGTTCATTTTAAGGCCAATTTTCTGGGATTGGTCATTTAGCTCATTTAGCATGGTGTTTAGTTCTTGAATGTCGGTGCTCAGCAAGACAATATCGTCTGCGAACCTCAGATGGCTAAGGTGTACTCCATCGATGTTTAGACCTCTATTTTCCCATTCTAATTTCTTGAAGACATTTTCCAGTGGCAGTGTAAATAACTTGAGAGAAATGGTATCAATATATTCAAGAATATCTTATGGTGAATTTCAGAATTAGTAATGAGCAAAGACCAAATGCAAAATGCAAGACAAAAGACTTAATTAGACTAGGTCTTGCAGGGTCCAGTATTGGTCTTTCTCTTATGTTTTTAGACATTTAAGCTTCATTCAGAACCTCGTAATTAGTAGAATAAATTAGTGGTTTCAATTAGCGTAGAAGTTTGTTCCTCTAATTTGAATATAAGCATTCAGAACGTCAAAATTAGTGGTAGGAATTTTCAGTTAGTGGAAAAAGTTCACAAACTTTTGACTTTTCCACTAATTATCCTTCAAAATTTGCGAGGAATGTCATTTTGGCCTTTGATTATCATCCGTCAAGAGAAAATGTGGTTAGCAACCGAAAGTGTATTGTTTTATAAGCTGATTATTAGGCTTTCTCTATGGATACAACTGATACTGATACTGCAAGCTGTTGCTAAAATATTCTATTAATTTGAATTGTGTTTTCTAGACATCGTGAATGATCGTAAACTAAAAAGTATAAAGTGCAATTGAAACCACTAATTTATTCTAGTAATTGCTGGGTTCTGAATGAAGTTTCAATCATTCAGAATATATATGATTTGGATACATTATTGTTTTGACACAAAAACACCATATGTTTTGAATTAACTTTATTGTCACACAGTTTACCAACCAAATGGTATGGCAAATGCAGCAGCTGTTGATGATTCAGAAGAAACACAATCATCATCGTCTGGTATTAAATGACTCACTTGTTCATAAAATTCATCGTATGGACAGAAATAGCCACAGTTTGCAAGTTTCAGCGGTATTGGATTACGTTGCTCATAATTTTGGTAAAACAACTAAAATGAAATACAATAATAATTATTTGAAAATATAAAAACTATATTGATTAGCTTACTCTGATTCCATATACTCCACGAATTTTGTGAAGCTCAATCAAGATATGGGAACCATATGGTGGATTCTCTACCAGCTTATAAAGTTCTAGAGAAAGAAGGAACGATCCTACATTCATATCGTGGGCAGAATACACAAATACTTTCCTGCTGGATGGACTGATGGTACCATTAATTTTACTTTCTGTATCGGCCAGTATTTTTTTCAAAAGGTACCCTAAAATTCGTTTATATATTCAGTAAGATTGAAGTTCTATATACACTTCGATTTTTACCAGTTGCAGTTTTCCTTAAAGCAGTGGTATTGGTATAAAGATAATAAGCATCGACAAGTGCTGAGTTTAAAGGTTCTGGATATACACTTTTAGTCCATTCTTCCAGAGGATAACCAATTTCTTGCTTTAAAAATATTTTAAAATTATTTTCTGGTATATTTAAAGAAACATATGCTTACTTGTACTACCATGCCGTTCTGAAGTCCAGCAGCTGTGAAGATGTTAACTGATGAGAGTCCAGTATTTTCTTCTATAATTTTGAAAGCTTCACCGTATCGTTCTTGGATGTATGAATAATATGGTTCTGTCTCGATGAGGGAATATACTTCGGTATAGAAATTGGAACAGGCAGAAAAAGCTAAGAGTTCCTAAAATATTCAATAAATATCTCTATAACTAAAGATATCAAAGTATAATTCCAAAATCACATCAAGTAAGATTGAAGTTTTGGCGCCATTCCTGAATGGCGCCGACAAAGGCAGCGAGATTATATAAATTAAGAGCCCCAAACCAGTCCAAGTAACTTTGAAAATACTTTACCAAAGTCATGTTATTACCGTTATCCCCGTTAATTCAAATTGTGATATATTTTATTCTAGTGGACCGATTTTGATGATTTTTTAAGCAATTTGTAGCTATATTATTTGACTTTTTAGTGTCTCTTTCTAAATTAAAAATGAAAGTTCCCATCTGTCAATTATACGAGGGAAAACAAAATGTTGATATTTTGGTGAAAGTTTGAAACACCCTGTGGAATATATTAACAAAACAAAGAATTTAAAAATCATTTGATCAGATAGGTACGCCTTTTTTTGATAGCTTGTTATTTGATTCATCTCAATAGCTTTAGTTTTATTGAAGATATTCATAAGTGTTATAATGTATAATATTTACAAACCTTATCACTTGATGACGGTTTGTAGTTGTATGGTATGGGTTGCCAGTCGAGGTAAGGTGACCATACGTCTCTTCTCCTTGGTGGATACAAAGCAGCCACGACTAACAAAGCGGACATCTTGGTCCTGTTGTAGTCACTGGTTCTCACGTCCAAATAGTTAATATTCCATTCCTGGCCTAAGAAGTTGTTATATCTTCTACGTAATAAAGTTCCCAATTGGTATTCGGTTCGTTTTCCTTCCTAAAAACATAATTCCATTGAAAAATACCATTTTATTTGGTATTGTTACAAGATCCAGAAACAGCGTTATATACATTTTCCTGTTTAAGATTTTCAAAGAGAAGGATAATCAAAAAATATTCAATATCTGCCTCCCAGAAGCATACTATATTAAGTCATAAGACAGTTTTGAGAAAAGTTGAAAGTTATTTCCAAATTATTCGGTTATTTTAAAAACTATGATTGTAATTACTTGATATACCGGGTGCGTCTGAAAAGTGGCTCACCCCTATAACTTTTTTATTTTTTTCAGATAAAAAACGAGATTTGATATGTTAGTATATGACGTAAATTAGGATTGATTGAGGAATTCAGTGGTTTTTGGTCACTTCCTGTTCTACCGGAAATAACTACAAATTTTGATTTTTAAATGGCACCCTTGGCATTTTTTTACTTTATTCGATAGAAAATGGCACTCTGAATAGAATGACATATTAAGGATATGTCAAATTTCTGACATTTTCGCATATGGTTTATTTGAAATTGTAACATGCGGTTGATAAAGACAATTTGGCTCGAAATACCAAGTGTGTGGTACCAATAAAAAATTCTAAGGTGCAGATATATATTTGGATAGAAACTTCGTTCACAAATTTATGTCATAAAATCCAGAGTGTTCTGTTAGACTTCTTAGATTTGCAATTAAAAAATATGAAGACTTTGAAGCTGCTTTATGGTAGAATTTTAAATGTGCAGAAAATTTAGTTTAAATTTTTCTTAAATGGGTATTTATGGCAAATAATCTAGTGAGCTAGAAAAAATATACAGTTCACTATTTCAAAAACCACAACCTACAACTATAAAGAACCGAAATATGTTTCATTCCCTTTAAATATCTTTGAATTTATTGTGATGATGGAATACAATGATTGGAGAAAATATCTTTTAAATAGGAAACTTATAAAGTTAACCATTTGATAACATAATTCGTTTTATATAATTCAAAAATTACACATTTTAACCAAAATTCTTCAAATAGCTTCACACTGGACACATATTTCGCATGTTAGCAAAATAATTCAAACTATTTTAATCACCTGGTCATAATAATAGGTAACAGAATGTGTTTCCAGAGTCATAATATAGGATTATGGATTATTCTGGATAAATAAAAAGGGTTAAAATTAATAAAAATATACCTACATTGGTAAGCTGTCCATAGCCTTCTCTGTAGAAACTCTCGTTGTAAAAGGGATCGCTCTCATACAATGAGCTCTCTTCGGGATTTCTATTTCCATGCCTAAACAACTATGGTAATTCTATTATAATTAAAAAAAAACGTAAAATTTTAAAAATATCACTTACCACATGCACTAACTCTAAGGTACTCTGCCCAGAGGCTGCAAAGATGGTGCAGAGCCCTAAAAGTACAGTTATAACTGACAACCCAAACATCTTTCTGGTGGTGTAACTCAAACAGACTTAGTTCTTCAATTTATACTATTTTGAATATTAATATTTTCGATTATCTTATCAAAAAGTGTGTTTTTTTAACTATACGTAAATCAGAAACACTTAAAATCTGCCTTATACAAATTAAGAATATTAAACTATAAGAAGTATATTACATACAGGGTGAAAAAAATAATAGCGTATAAACTTTAGGTATATATAGTCTATCCAACGAGAAGATTCTTGACAGTGATAGATGTGTCTGTCATTTTAATTTCAAAGTAGTTTATTTTATTTTACAAAGAAATAAGTTGGTACAACTGGAACGCATAGCAGGAAATTAATATATGTATTTAAAATTTGACTGACAAGTAACTTCAAAATATTGTGAAAAAACTGTATAAAACTGAAAAAATGTAATCGAGTTATTTTATTTAATAAAAAACGGTATGTGTTAATACAAAACAAACAAAAACAAGACACCACATACCAAAAAATATAAAAAAGAAGTATTTCTTACTTTCAAGCTTTATGAAACTTCCCGCATTTATGATTATATTTATCAATATAACTTATATACAAATACAAATTTGTAATATTCCGCAGGAATAAATAAAACAACATAAATAAAACAAACTATTTTATTAATAATAACACTTACCAAATTTTATACCTCGCAGGTTGATTAATTAACTTTAATCTTATTTTTTTTAAACCAGTACCTTTTGACATTATTTTTCTGCAGTACTAAAATCCATTATTTACCTATCGTGTGATGTCGATATTTTACAGCTACTCCAGTTTTTAGTATGTGTTTAGTATGGTGTGGTATGGTCCTTCTACCATATTCGAGATGCACTTATCTACGAGATGGTATACGAACTTTATTGATAGTAACTTTATTGGTGTATCTGTATAAGACTTTCTGCCTGGGCAGCGAGTATTAACCATAAACTGTGCTCTGGGTTCTACAGTTAATTTTCACTCGATTGTTCCTCCACTTGACTTCAAAAGACACAAAACATACGTAATAACACGAATCAAAATGCATCATCTTCCAAAACGCAGGGTATTTGACAAAAGTTGTCACAAAATTATAACCTATAATTTGGCAAGACTTTGACAAACGCCAAAAATCTAAAGGCGCGTTCATACGCATCGGCGTCCGTTTGTCGTTCATCGTTCCGTCAAACCAATAAAATTAAAATACGATCTGTCATTTTTGAAATAAACCAATAAAACTGGTTAAAAACAACAAGTGACGACGCATGCCGAATTTATATTTAAACCCATCCATAGTTAACTTAAAAATTATTAGAAACTTTTTTTAGTAAAATAAATAGATTGGTATGGGACGTCATCTGCTTTTCTTCTGTCATCGTCTGTCGAAATCTTACCTGAGAAAAAAAACAAAGTATACATAAACTTTACAAAGTGATACTATCACTATCTACAGAAAAAAAGAAAAGAAAAATAAACGTATTCCCTAAAATGCTTCTTGAAGAAGTTCCACTTCTTAAAATATAGATAAAAATAATACATTTTTTTAATAACATTGTTTGCATTTTGATCATCTACAAAGGAATTAGTTGAACTAAGTAATCGCTCTCGTGATCTCGCTCAAACCACATACATAATAAATTAACATACAATAATTTAAGAAAGGAACGTTAAACACCTATAACTAATGAATAAAATGTTCACATAGTCCCCAAGAAATGAATCAACTCTTACGATTCTTTGTACAAACAAGTCGCATTGTAATCCGATACGATTCTTACGATTCTCTGTTTACGACTCGTTCATTCAAATTTTATGGATTTGTGCTGGCCACGATTCAGTTAAACGAAGCGTATTGGAAGCAATGAATCAATTCTCACGATTCTTTGAACGAACGAACCGTAGAAACGAACGAGTCGCGTTGTCATTATTACTACTTTTTTTACGATTCCTCCATTCAAATTTAATGGATCCGCGCTGGCCACGATTCAATTGAACAAACCGTATTGTAAGCAATGAATCAATTCTCACGATTCTTTGAACGAACGAGTCTGATTGATCAAGTTGCTGATTGGACCACACATTAGAGGTGGGCAAAGATTGAACGAGTCGTTCATTTGAACGAGTATTAAAAATGAATCGTGAGATTCTATTCATCGCTTAGAATACGGCTCGTTCAATTGACTCGAGGTAAGAGTAAGTAAAAGAATCGTGATTCTTTGAACGAGCGAGCGGTAGAAAGAAAAGACTCGCATTCTGATCAGATTCAATTCTCACGATTCTTTTACTTACTCTTACCGCGATTCATTTGAACTAACCGTATTCTAAGCGGTGAATAGAATCTCACGATTCATTTTTAATACTCGTTCAAGTGAACGACTCGTTCCCAAGCAGCATTTGGAAGTCGGGACAACGTTGTGTCACGCGACCAAACGTCGGGGTGCAACGTCGGCACAACCTCCTGCCAACCCTAGTCTGCACTAGTTTGGAGAATAATTTTTGGGTCGAAACGACGTTGGATACCGACGTTGGCTCGAAGCCTAATTTAGTACAAACTGCAACGTTGTTTAAAATCCTAATTCACAGAAATACAAAACTAATATGGCGTCTAAGTCGCGTTTTATCCTAAATTGGGATAATTATAGTAAAAATATTATTTTTATGATTTAGTTAGAGACATAAGTCAGATGGCAGTGAAGGAAAACAAAACAAAAGTATTTAAGTGTGGAGGATGTTTGAAGATCATAATTATTGAAACACTTTAACCGACTCTGTAACTCGTTACCCAAGGCAAAAAAGTTAAACGCAAACAACTTTATTGATAAATGTATTGTTTCTACTTTGAAAAATACTAATGGGCTTTAAAATTAAAGAAGTTTTAAAAATTTTCTTGAATTTTTTTTTAGTAAAATGAGAATAATTTATCCGCAGTCGAAAAAATTGTTTCCGCGTGTTGTTTAGGGTTAAATATTTCAAGTTAATGTATTCAAAAAGCAGGAATTGCTATTTTAGGAACGAAACATTTTCTTATTTAACAACATGGCGGCTTTCACTTTGTTGTTTTGGAGATTAAGATGGAGTAGTTCGAGTAGTCGCATACTGGACTAATAAAGTCGCAGTTCGGCCGTAACAGGTAGTATACTAGTCGCAAGATTGCCTAATTTAGTCATCCTAGAGTCTAGCTTGTGCCGCCCTCTATAATAAATAAACGAGGGAGTGGATAAACTATCGGTAATATATGTCGATGTATTTTTAAATTTAGTTTTATATGTACCTTTCTTATGTCCCATTTTAATTAAGTTTTTTTTTATAAAAACATAAACAGCACTGAACTGTCTGACTGAACAGAACAATGAAGTGAAAATTCAAGATTTAAGGTTATGGTTCAATACAGTTGCAAAAAGGTAGTGACTCGACGTCCTACCAACGTAAGAATAAGGAAATCTAAACAACTTTGGAATTAGTAAAACAGACGACGTTTGCATAACGTTGGAATAGGTCCTGAAACTGACGTCGGAAAACTCTATATTGTCCAACGTTGTAACTACGTTGTCCAAATCACCTAAAGATCACTTAAGCAAAAAAGGTTACAAGACAACGTTTATTCGACGTCGCAGAAGCTTCTACTTTGCTGTAGTACTAGTCCAACGTCGGCACAACGTTATAAAAACGTTTAAATTTATTTTAATACCCAAGGTAGGGTGCTAACTATTTTTTGTAACTAATCCAACGTTGTGTTTAGTAAACATGTGGTCGCAAGTCGTGAAAATGCTACTTGGGTTCAATTTTTGCCCACCTCTGATCTGTGGTCCAATCAGCACAACAGTGGTCGGAAACCTCGGTTATCCATAAAAGACCTTTCAAAGTTTCATTAGAATTTGTTTCTTTTTGTAAACTTTTGTAGCGTCAAAGTTAAGAAGTAATAGCAAAGATAATTCTGATAATTGCCACAAAAACGGCATGACTATATTAACGTAACAAAGTGTATTCAAGAAAAAAAACGATCTGTATATTTTCTGCCAGAAATACATATATATTTCTACCGGGTAGTGGGGACACTTCAATTTTGTTTATACCTTATCCTTAAAAAATCGCTGCTTAAACGTGACTGAGTTATAAGCATGAGATAAGCGTGACTTAGAATGAATTTCTAAAATTCGATTTATTTGACTACATATTTTTGTTGTTGTCATCGTTACTGATCACGTTTTACATCTCATGCCATGTCATATAATTCACGTGTTTGCTTATGAATTGGCAATAATCAATAAATTTCGCTAATTCCGTCTTTAAGCACTTATTAAAACAAATTATCTTGATTTATACATTTATTGCTGTATAAATGATTATTATATCTTTTATAAAAATAGCGATCTGCAGTTTTTAATTTATTGTACAATTATTTATATTTATATTACCTATAAATGACTTTTTGCCGGACGGGACATAGGAAATTCCATGTAAATTTTAATGGGGTCAATTATTGCCTTCCCTAATTATTTTAGAGAATAATTCTATTTAGGTATATTGAAGAGCACTAAAACCCACATTCAAAAGAATAACTTTAGATATTTTTGATTAGCCCATTTACGAGTTATCGCCGATTTCTTTTTAAATATTTCTCCTTTCTTATGGCCCTGTATTTACTTATGAGCACCAGTCAAGGTAAAAGATAACTGTCAAAGGAAGTTGTCATTTCAGAAATTTATACCTGTTTAGTGCTTTATTACATCTTTATTATTATTGAAAACTCATTCCTACATCGGAAATCTTAAAGATGTATTTATAAATACAAATTAATATGAATTAAAGTAAAATAAAGTAATCAATTACAAGGTTAATTATAGTATTATGACAATATTCAATAACTTATTAATTTAGGTACTATAAAGTGTTAGAACTTTAGGATTTAAGAAGATGTTCAAATATTCCTCCATCGACTGCTAGTCAATAACCCAGGCGATCATAAAATTCTCTTCTTACATTCGCTAGTTGGTAAACTGAAATTCTATTGCATTCGGCAGAAATAGCATTTTTTAACTCGTCTAGATTTGGGTATTTTTTATCCTTGTATATCCTGTTTTTTAAATGGCCCCAGAGAAAGAAATCATTTGGCGAAATATCAGGGGACCTTGCTGGCCAATTTACTGTATGATTTAGGCCAATAACGTTTCCGTTAAAACTATTGTCTAAATATTCCCGAACAGCCAGGGTAATATGTGCCGGGT